AGAGTTTAGGGAAATCTGGTTTGAAGTATTTCAACAGCCTTTACTATCATTGTGTTGCACTTGTACCTTGCTTTTCTTGCCAGGAACACAAGGCAACTTACATGATTTTCTCCTTTTTTCCTAACAACCACCAGAAGCCTGTGGGGTAGGTTGGGCTGAGCATCTGTGACTGTCCGTAAGTCACCCAGGGAGCTTCTTGGCTGAGAGGGGATTGGAACCCGGATCTCCCGCGGCTCAGTCCAGCACTTTCACGCCTATACCACATCATCTGTTTCAAAAGACTGTCCACGTATGAGTCAAATTAAGTAACTGTATTTATGAACCTGTAAGCAAACTCGGCATATAAGGTGACTCAGCATATATCAACACATAAGACAACTTGCATATAAGACAAAGCCAATATTTTGGGCTGTGGTTTTTTTTTCTTCTTTTTTTGGTGTTTGTCCTAATTTTGGTTTCAAGGGTCATCTTATGCACTGATATATATGATAATAATGTATATATCAGCAACCAGGAAGTACAAGCAAGAAAGAACAAGCAACCAGGAAGTATGTTTCAAAAAACTGTATATATTGGCATATAACGTGACTCACGTATAAGATGAGGTCGATATTTTGGGTGGTTTTTCTGGTCAGGCATAAGGCAACCCCTAATTTTTACTTTGCTGTTTTTGCCTCCAAGGCCCATTTAAAATGCCAATATATGTGGTATTTGAAGAGTTGCGTTCTATTTCCATTTGTAACTTTATTAAAAAACACGCAGAGCCTTAAGCAGTTTGAACAGGTTACTTGGAGGACCACCACCATCCCTGCCAAGCCGGTTGTATCTGACATCCAGTTGTCGAAGCCCCGCACAACTGCCCAGCAGCAGGGGCAGTCAGGCTGGCAAGCCACAGGGAGCAGGCCTCCTCTGGCCCTGGGCCCTCGGTGGCAGGCGCCTTGGCGAACGGGGGCACTAAGCCCCGGCGCCGCAGGCCTTGGGAAGAGGCGGCCAGGCACACGTGTATTCTCTGGCCTGCCGCCGAAAGCGTGAAAGGGCCATGGAACGAACATGGTTTCAGCCACTGTTGCCACATATTTATTGTGATATTGTAAATACCGAACAGGATTGCTCTAGTTCTTGGCTGGCTTTTAATAATTTATTTTGGGTATACATTACTATTTTGTGGTGGCAGAACTGAGCTTTGGAAGCCATAGTGAGAGTTTCCTGTAAAGATGGCATACAAAACATACCATGTGAGAGCTTTCAGCTGACAAATCAGAGGCTTAAAATGTACCAGTCCGTTGGCTTTGACTAAAAACTAGGCATGTTTCTGAAGAAAATGAGTTGGTAGTTCCCCCACAAACGCACACACACTGCCAGCTAGGAAAGTCCTTGCATCGTCTTGGTTTCTACAGTGCATACAGCATTTCAAACAGAAGGCTATGTAATCTGGTTTTTGTGAATGTACGTAACCCTGTTTCCCTGTCCTCCAGTTAAAAGGCCTTTCTGCAGACCTGAATGCAGAAAGCTCCTGGAAAGCCCATACTACCCCTCTGTTCTTGTCTAGCAATGCTTTTTCCAATGCATTTTTATGATCGTCACTTCCATTGTTTAGAATGGTGGAGTAGATTGGGGAGGGGGGCAGGGTGTTTGCCCCAGGCTGCCTAGTGAGTCTCTGTGGTGTGGGGGATAAATCCCCGCTGAAGTCTTGGGCTGCAGTCTTTGGGCTGGGATTGGAAACCTCCCATGGGGAGGAAATTTGAACTCTGTGCTGCTCGCTTCGGACAGGAGTGTAATTGGATTAGAAATCATTTCAACGGCACACCTGATAGCTCCGGAGGGTAGTCTAGGAGTGCCGAGTTCATCAAGTAGCTCATCCAGTCCGCATTGGATCTGGGACTCCTCCTTTGTCTCTTAATAGAAATATAAAGTGTCTCTCAAGTTCTCAGCATTTTAGGCTTAGCTGCATGGAAAACAGCCGAAGGAAGAGAAAAGGGTGGGTTTTCAGCTCCGTGGGCAGGCAGATTTCCTTAGGGGGTGCCTTGTAGGGGCGCAGTCCTATGCACCTTTAGACAGAAAAGGCCCTGTGACTCCAGGGCAGGTTGGGAATTGTAGGACATTTTTTTTTGTTATAGATGTATAAGGTTGCGTACTTCAATGTGCTCCCTGAAGACTAACATTGCAGTGGGCATGTGAAAACCCGTGACTACATCACTTGCAGTGTTGCAGGTGGAGCTACAATATGGCCGGGGCTGCTTGGCCCATCTTTCACTGACCGGAGCACTGGATTGCAGGCAGTTGACGTTTCTGTTCTTAGCGGGTGAGGGAATGGGGCAGCTGAGAGAAAATATCCCAAAGCGGCATCCCTTTGTGGGTGGACCAGTCTCCGCGCAGTGCGGTCCTTGTAGGGTTCTGGTCCAAATGATGCTTCCATTCCACAGAAGCAAGCCGTGTGTTTTTCAGTGGGGCAGGAACATGAAAAGTGGGACCACATCGCTGCCCTACAGATGTCTTCTGATGGCGTGTGGGTTCCCGGCGCTGCTAAACTTGTGGCGGTGCTGATCAGAAGGGCAGCTGTAACTTTGGGTGGAATTTGGATGAGCACAGCACTAGTGTGGGGCCCTCAGGAATCTACTGGCTAATAGTGGTGACTCTCTGTGCCTAACTTCCCGTCTTGTAGGGAAGAAGTAAAGCTTCGGAACGCCTAGTTTCCCACATGCTCCAAATGCTGCCCCTCACTGCATGTTGGATCCGATAGCCCTGTGGTCACGCCGCGGGGAAAAGAGCTGGTTTCAGCCAGCGGACCGAAGCTTGCTTCTCTTCTGTGCTAGCCTGCCTGGCAGTCCCTGCCTCACGTGCCTGGCGGGTGCTGTGCTGAGCAAGAGCGTGTTCTTCCAGGTCTCCCTAGGAGGTGTCCTCGGCAAATATGGCTCCTGCGCTGATCAGTCCCACAAGGCAATCTGCGCAGAAGGCAGGGAAGGGAGAAAACGCGTTTTCCTGGCCCTCCCCACAGAAGGCCCGGAAGAACATGGCTTATTCTCCACGGAGCAACCTCTCTGTCCTGGCTGTGGAGCTGCCGCCCCATTCTGCCAGCCTCGGGGCTTCCGTGGCATTCCTTGGCATACTGGTGGGGAGACTTGAGAGGAGGCAGGGCCTTGGGGTCCTGGCCGCGCCCAGCGTGTGTCGCGCACATCTCAAGCAGGCTGCCCCGCGCGGGTTTTTGCGCAGTGCGGCTGGTTGCTCCGTATGAACCCGCCTGCCATCAACTCACCTTTTGTTCTGCCTCAATAAAACTAGATGTCGCGCTGGCGGGACACTTGTCTCGAGCACGAGGAGGAAGTCACCGCTGTGCTGTACTTCCCTACCGGCCGTGACCCGGGAAGGTCTGTCCCTGGCTGATCTGCCCAGCACTTGGTCCCAGGCATGATGTCAGTGGCTTGCAACCCACGGCATGAGCAAGCAGGCGCTCAGCCATGCTGTCTTTGGCGGAAGAGGCAAGGGGACCTGCAGGTGCTCCTTGAGAAGCTGCTGCTCTGTCTCGCTTGCTCGAGGGCTTTTCTTCTGTTGATTGTGCTTGCTCGTTTCTCACGACCAAACCGTTGTCATCCACAATCACTGGGGAGCTAGGGTATTTAACATTTCCTGGATTGAAAGGACTCGTACAATTAATAAAAAATGAGAGGCGTATGTCGACACCTGGGCCTTCGTGGTTCAAAGGGTGGCTTAAGCCTTCCTGGTCCAGCTCCAGAAACAATTTTCCCTTTACCTGGGATATTCTCAGCCTTTAAGTTGGACACAGGTTGCTTCTTGTCCCACACCGCAGTCGTGTAGACTCCCCTGGTTGTGCTCCTGGTTATCACTCCCCAAATCATAGGCTTCCTGAAGCAAGCAGGAGAAATGGCCTCAACCAGTAGACTGAGGTGCTGCATTAAACTGCGGCCACGTTTGAGACTGCCGACTGTTGATCCTAGGTTGAAGCTGGATTTTCAGGTTTCCGAGACAGGGCACTGAACCAGCCAGGAACACGCAGGCAGGAACTTGCTCGCCTGCTGTTCACCAGGAGCACTGGAGGGTGGCTTTGCTGAACCTTTGGTGTGCTCAAAATGGCTGACATAAGTCTCCTCCTCCTCTCAATCTTCTCCCCATAACACCGACCCTGTGAGGTAGGTTGGGCTGAGAGTCTGACTGGCCCAAAGTCGCCCAGTGAGCTCCATGGCCGAGTGGGGGACTAGAACCCCGATCTCCCGAGTTCCAGTCCAGCACCCTTAGCCACCGTCCTGGATTGTGGCAGCATCCTCTTGCTGTGAGAGCTGACCAGGCCACGCCTTTGGAGTAACTTAAGGATCCAGCACAGAGAAACGAGTGTTCGTGCGTTGTTTGCCCTTCAGCACGGCACACAGGTTGCGCTTTACGCTCTCTAACTTCTCCCTCGGCACGGTCGCTGCATTTCCTGCTTCAGGTCCCTGAGTCGGGGGAAAGCCGGAGCTGGACTTGGGATCAGTTGCTAAATGGGTGGAAGCGTGGCAGATCGCGCCTCGCCTCGCCTCGCCACCACGGAGCCACAGCTCTGGATCCCCGCCTTGCTTTGGCTGGGGAAGCACCTTGTCATTCCAGGACGTGCAATTTGATGCGGAATAGTTGCGCGCGCCTGCCTTGGGAGTGCTTTCCTCAGTGGAAACGTTCATCACGAACAGTGTACTTCTGCCCCTCGCTGCCAGCGCAGGGCACAGCGGGTGGCCCAGCTTAGCGGATGGGCTGGATCGTTAGCCCAGCCATCATCAGTTGCAGCAGCTTTCCCACGGGGCATGAAAGCGATCCAGGCTGGCCTTAGACCCGCCTGAGCGAGCACATTTCTGCTCCGTGCCACAGATTTGCCTAGTACTGGAACTTCTTTGTTTGTGATCCGGGAGTTGAGAATTTTCACTCTTTCGGTCGGCGCTCTGCCATGTTACAGGAGGCAGGGAGAGCCGGGCTACCAGCCGGGTACGAGGTCCTCCCAGTGCTCTCCTCGGGGTGGAGGTGCCGGGTACGGCATGCGGGTCACGTCTTCCGGCTGCCGCCTTTCCTCTGCCCCTCGGGTGGCTCCTGCAGGCGTTCTCCTGGGTCGCACCCGGGGCTCCCTTGGCTTACTGCAGTGCCTCTTTCTCCCGCAGGAATGCATTCTCTCCGGGATTATGTCAGTGAACGGGAAGAAGGTGCTGCACATGGATCGCAACGCCTACTACGGAGGGGAAAGTGCGTCTATTACACCCCTGGAGGACGTGAGTAGCCCCAGCCCATGGGGAGGTTCAAGCCCCTGCGCGCCTCTGCTGGGTGTAGAAAGTCACGTGGCGTGCAGGGGTGTGGGCTGCTGTTTCGGGGTGCCTGTCCTTAGGAGGTCCCCCAAAACTAGACACGGAAAGCAGCCGCAGGAGAAGGAAGAAGCCGAATGCCTGGCTGATGGGGACTTGGTAGGAACTCTGTTCCCCAGCCAAGCGGGTCACCCTCGTGCGAAGGCGTGTCCTATGGAAGTGTTTCAGTGGCGCCGGTGTGCGTGTGCGGGGCACTGCGGTGCGCAAGAGGACGGGCTTGCAATCTGTCACTTTCGTTAGTTATTTAAAGCTTTTATAGACTGCTCCTCTACTAGCGTCACAGGACAGTTTACAAAATAGACAGTTTACAAGCAAAATAGAAATTCACATGGCACAGCATGCAGTAATACAATGATATAAAGCACATTAAAACCAATTAAACATTAAAATAACGGGAAAATACAAGGTTTCCGCCTGGGGCCAAAAAGGAGAAGCGTTGGCGCCAGGCGAACCTCACTGGGGAGCGTATTCCATAATTGGGGCTCCACCGCAGAGAAGGCCCTGCTCCAGGTAGCCACTCTACCAATCTCCTTCAAGGAGGGCCGCCAAGGAAGGCCCTCTGCCTCAGATCTCGGGGCAGGAGGGCGCACAGGGAAGGAGGCGCTCCTTCAGGGGTCCCGGCCCAGGCGGTTTAGGGCTGGGACAGTAGTTCAGTACTGGAGAAATGGGAAGAAAGTATGGAAGGGAAGAAACAAGCTTTATTTTTCTCACATACTTACAGTTTATGTACTTGCAACACTTATAACCTGCTCCACCTCTTGGGCACATTCTGGAGTGTTGAATGATGAAAAGATTAAAAGAACAAAGCACTGTATTAAAGCAGAATATCAGTGAAGACAGTGACCGGTCAGCCGAAGAAGGCGACTCTGGAGTAGAGATGTTTCCGGAGGGGCCGAAAACGAAGCCGAGGCGCTTGTGCTCGCCTTGCCTCCAGAACCAGGCCTCTTCTGCAGGAGGCCCCTGTGAAAGGCGCTCTGAGCTGCCGCGGCCCCTTGGGCGAGGGATCTAGGCATGCCCTCAGGCTCTGGGTGGGGGTGCAGCCCGTCCAGACGGGCGGGGAGGCTGTGTCCTCGCAGACGCTTGCCCCCTTCCCTGTGGGCACAGCTCCCTCCTAATGGCATGATTCCTTGTTCCCAAAGTTGTACAAAAGGTTTAACCTGCCGGGGACGCCCCCAGAGTCGATGGGCCGGGGAAGAGACTGGAATGTGGACTTGATTCCCAAGTTCCTCATGGCGAATGGTGAGTGAGGGGGGCTTCCTTGGCTTCCTTCTCCTGATGGGTGTGAAGCTGCATCAGGTTCCTGGGGCCCTTGAGCCCTCTCTGCATGACAGTCTTTCGTTCCCACCCGTGCTGAAGGCAGCCCCATGTTCGTGGGTGCCCCTTTTATTTATTTTTTATTTTATTTTATTTTTTTGTCCCTTTCACTTTTCCATTGCTACCAGGATCCATGTAACCCGAAGGACCTGGTCCCAGGCTTCCTGCCCCAAGGACCCGTTGCCGCAGCTCCAGCGCTTGCATCACGCGCTGCTCACACAGGCTGCAGATGGGAGAGCCTCCGAATCTCAGCCCCTCCTGGGAAAGGGTCCCGGCAGCGCCTGGGTGCAACGGGCTCTCTGCTCGGCTGCCGCCTTTCTGTGGCTCAGGCACCACCAAGTACGCGTGGACCTGGCTGGAAGCCCAGGGAGCCTCTTGGTCCATACCCAGGCACTGCAGAGCTGAGCTGCCCTTGCTTCAGGCCGGGCCTGCGGCAGTGGAGGCTGAGGTGCCCACACGGCTCCCTCTGCAGCCGGTCTGGCTTTTTTCCTGATTGGCTGTAGCAGCATTAAAACAGGTCTCATTTCAGGCATTCACATGGGCTGATTCTGATGACTAAGAGCGTGCTGGGAACTTGATTCTGGCTGTGTGGCAGCCTGCTTGAATTTTTCCAGTCTCTTGCCTCTACATTAAAAAAAAAATAAAAAAATCAAGCACAGACTTTATCCGCAGTACTAAGGCCGTACTCAAGAGCTGCTTCAGGCAGTTGTCGTTTTAAGCAATGAATGCACAGCTGACTGGCCATCCAGAGGCGTTTGCTTTCTAGTCCAAGTGTGGGCAACCCACAGGCCACCAGCCGGTGCAGCTGACTGAGCCGCTGCTGAACTTGGCTGCCTCTTTGTGGTTCTCATCCAAGCCTGCCATCCCGCTGCTTTGCGGGCCTGAGGAGGTGCCGTGTTCCTCGGGAGAAGCGTGTCGGGGTGACCCTTCCCTTGTGCCCCCCCCCCCAGCAATTGCAGTCGTGCTGCTCCAGCTGGGCAGCAGGTTGTGGGAGCACGGATGCAGTCGAGCCGGCGGTATGCGCTGGCAGGTTGCTTGGCTGTGCTGTGAGACGGGAGGGGGCAGCGGCCCAGTCCCTGTCGAGTTCCCCCAGGAGCAGCAGAGTTTCCTGCCTGTGCCCTGGGGACTCCGCCACTCCTCCGAAGCCAGCCGTACGCCTGCACGCATCCTCGCTCACACGGAACATCCTTTGGTTTCAGGCCAGCTGGTCCGGATGCTGCTGTACACAGAAGTCACCCGCTACCTGGACTTCAAAGTGATCGAAGGAAGCTTTGTCTACAAGGGAGGGAAGATCTACAAGGTCCCGTCGACGGAGGCCGAGGCCCTGGCGTCCAGTACGTAGACAGAGCTGCTTCGGTGCTTGTGCCGGATCCCAGCAGTCCTTGGGTGCAGCGCGGAGCAGCCTTCCCCGACCTGGTGCCTTCCCGACATGTCTGGACTGCAGCACCCAGTCAGTGGCCCTGCTGGACGGGACTTCTGGGAATTGCAGCCCAAATGCCCCTGAAGGCCACCAGGCCGGGGAAGGCTGGAGCGGAGCGTCACTGCATGGGGGCTTTCTTGTTAGCTGGGAATGTTTGCTTGAAGGATGTGTATCAGCCTGTGTTTGCAGTGTAGCTCTGGCATAAATCCAGAATCAATTTTTAGGATTCAATTTAAAACACAACATTTACTCTGTAGTATTTGAAAGCTATGGCAAATCTAGACAGCATACTAAAAAGCAGAGGCATCACCCTGCCGACAAAAGTGCGTAAAGTCAAGGCTATGGTTTTCCCAGTTGCAATGCATGGCTGTGAAAGCTGGACCATAAGGAAGGCTGAGCGCCAAAGAACTGAGGCCTTTGAATGGTGGTGCTGGAGGAGACTCCTGCGAGTCCCTTGGACCGCAAGGCGATCAAACCAGTCAGTCCTAGAGGAGATCAACCCTGACGGCTCTTTAGAAGGCCAGATGCTGAAGATGAAACTCCAATACTTTGGCCACCTAATGAGAAGGAAGGACTCCCTGGAGAAGAGCCTGATGCTGGGAACAATTGATGGCAAAAGAAGAAAGGGACAGCAGAGGATGAGGTGGCTGGATGGCGTCACTGAAGCAGTCGGCGGGAGCTTAAGGGGACTCCGGGGGATGGTGGAGGGCAGGGGGGCCTGGAGGAACGTTGTCCATGGGGTCTCAGTGGGTTGGACACGACTTTGCGACCAACAACAAAATTTGAATCTGATCCTGTGGATAGAAAGAGTGGATGAATCCACGTGGCTGACTAGGGGCCACAAGTTAGAAGAATGTTTGCTTTTTCTGATAACACGGGGAAGGGGGACTGCCTTGCAGGACAAGAGCAAAATGGCAGTTCAGGTACTAGCAATATGCCTCTGGGAGGCCACCCCCGCCTCCCCCGCCAGTTACCAGGTGAGCTGGCCCAGTTCTCACCAGCACCTCTTGACTGTCTCTGCACCCCTGAAGCTGCCCGGGTGGCGGCAGCTGCTACTTCTGCGTTGTGATGATTCCACAGATCGCAATGAAAGGCGCTTCCTGGCATCACTCACACGAGTTCCGTTCCTGCTTGGACGAGATGTTGTGGAGCTGGGACTCGTGGGCAAGACTCCCGTCCCGTGGCGCTCTGCACGTGCCTAGAGGGCGGCACTGCTGCCTTTCTCCTCAGCCGTCGTAGCCCCGGCAGTGTTTGGAGCGCTTGATGCTGCGCAGCTTTCTTGGCCGTGCAGGCTTTCCTTGCGTAAGCAGGCCTCGGGCACTGGTCTCTCCTGTTCACGGTCTGAGCGTGTTTGCAGTTCCCCTCCCTGTGTGCTTCCCCGCCAATTCCTTCAATCATGGCAGTGTTGGCAAAAATCAAGCGGCTCAGGACGAACATGGCTCCGACCGCCCCTCGGTTTTCCTGGTGGAGACGCAGGAAGCTGCTGCTCCGTTCTCTGTCCCTCTGACCCGCAGAATGGCTGGGTGCCGTTTGGGGTCCTGCCTCTCTTGGATTAACTGCTAGGCTAATTTTCCCCCTTGACTGGGGCATAGCGAAGTCAGACTCTCTTGAAAGCCTGTGTGGACAACCATTGCACTAGAATAAACGCATCTCTGTTCTTGCCACCCTGATAAACCAAACATTCTGCAGCTTGGATCCTATCTAAGACCCCCCCCCCCCCAAATAGGATCAGATTGAAGAGCTGCCAGGTTACCTGCTCAACACCCAGAGGTTATCTCAACAAGGAGAAGAACTTTGTAGGTAAGGAAGCTCAGATCAGACGTGGCCGGCGGTTTGGAAGGCTTAAACGAGGCAGCTCGGAGCACAAAAAGTGTCTGGGCGAGAGGCAGCCAGGCAAGCGGAGGGTGCAGACTTCTCAGTCCCATTATTGGGGCTTTGGTCCCTGGACACCGAGAAGTATGTGTCCCCGATGTGGAACGGGGCATGAGGCACCCTCCAGGGGACGCCAGCCGGTCATGATTGCAAGGCAACAGCAGAAACTAGGAAATGTGCCACGGGGAGCAGTCGGAGCCGTGCTGGCGTCTCGCTGGAAGGCGCTCTGTTCAAAGTGCGACGCTTGTGGGCGCAGCCATCCGTGTCTCCCCTCACCTGTGCTGGTCTCTCTGGGGCATTTGGGGCTGCCCCTCCTGGCCAGCCAAGCGCGCTGCTTCTGTGTCTGGGCATGTTTGCATGGGCTGCATCCTCCTCCGCGGTGCCTCGACCCCCCGTTCCCTCCTCCTCCGGAAGTCACCTGGCTGGTCTCCCGCCCGCACAGGCACAGATCCCGTGGAGGAAGGGGGTGGGGGGCATCCTTGTCACTGTGGCTCTTTGGGGGCCCTTCCGTGGAGTCGCTCAGCCTGCCCCACTAGCTGCGCTCTGGGTTTTGTCCGTTCCTCTTGCTCTGGGGACGTCCCTGTGGCATCGTCAGAGGAAGTGAATGGGAAGGCAGATGCCCCAGGCGTGGGCAGGAAGGGGCCCGGACAGGCGCCCCACCCCGGAGTTTAAGCTGTAGAAGCTGGCGTGGCCGTCTCTGGCCCCACACATGGAGAACGGCTGGCGTGGGTGAGCAGCTGGTCCTTAAGCAGCGTGCGCCTGGCTTGCTAGTGCTGCTGGGATCACGCCTCACAGAATTCAGCGACCCCTGGGTCCGATGGGCCACAGGTGGCCTTCATGTGCCAGCGCATTGTCGAGAATCACCGAGTGTCTTCTGAGCAGCAGGCACTGGGAAAATGTGCTGGGGAAACGTTCCAGACTGAGGAGCCTGGTCCGCCCAATTCTGCATTTCCCGGAAGAGCCCGGTGCGTCCACACAACCTCACGAAATGAGTCAACCCGTCTGCGCAGGAAGCATGCGACTCTTGGTTTGTGCTCCGTTCCTGCTGCCTCCCAGTCATTTCTCCCCAAAACGTCAGGCTGCCCCGGCCAGTATTGGCGCCACTCATCCTGGCTGCAGGTTGTCTTTTGAAGGCCTTCCCTCTCGGGCTCAAGCCAGCAGTGGCTCCAGCCCACGGCTTGAGACTGGTTTGTTCGGACTGAGCGACTGTTGTTTCTGCCCGTTCGCATTCAGCCACTTAATCCAAGGTGGTGTGGAAGTTACTCTTCCAGCTCCCAAAGAACGTACTGATGGGAACATCTTGACTAATACCAGTGTGACAGGGAAATGCCCTGTGACCTGACAGCTCTCTGACTTTCTAGGTCTGATGGGCTTGTTTGAGAAAAGGCGCTTCCGGAAGTTCTTGGTGTATGTTGCCAACTTCGATGAGAACGATGCCCGGTCTTTCGAAGGGGTTGATCCCAAGAAGAACACCATGCGTGACGTGTACAAGAAGTTCGACCTGGGCCAGGACGTCATAGACTTCACGGGCCATGCCCTCGCACTGTACAGAACCGATGAGTGAGTGGTGCCCAGGAGATCCCCCCTCCCCGGGGTGTGCCGAGCTTGGGCGTCGAGGTGGGCCAGCTGTGAGCCTCTAGATGGAGGCAGCGGGGCCTCGGGCCTCGGACGGGGCTGCGCTTGCTTGGGTTATTTGCGGGCCAGATGGAAGGGTGCGCCTTGTGCTGGGTGCCAGTTCCCCCGGCAGCCCTGTGGCCACCGAAGGGCTCCCAGGCACACGCAAGCCTGGTTCCGTGGGGAAGGCCGGGCTAGTGGGAAGCGCGTGCTGGGAAGCGCATGAGGCGGAGAGCTGCTGCGCGTGACGTCTCTGTGTCTCCGCATTCTCTCCCCTTCTCAGCTACCTAGACCAGCCCTGCCAAGAAACAATCAACCGGATCAAACTGTACAGCGAGTCGCTGGCTCGATACGGCAAGAGCCCCTACCTGTACCCTCTGTATGGCCTGGGAGAGCTGCCGCAGGGGTTCGCCAGGTGAGGCTAAAATATATGTCAACCAAGTTTTCTCTTCCAAGAAACAGGTCAGTAATTGCAAAGCAGGTGAATATCGGCAGAGATCAAACCATGTTCTAATGGGAAGTTTATCTGTATTCTAACTTCCACTCGGAAAGCGGCAGCTACGGGGCATTGCCAGACCGTTTGATCTAAGGAAGTCTTAGCGGTATGACGTGTCGAGCAGTTGATCGGCATAGGCAAAGGCATTAGTAAGACATCGTGGTCTCTAACAGGAGCACATTTTTGTCGCATAAAACATGGTCGGAAGCCCGCTACACCTTCAGTGTTCTGCTGCTTGGAGCACGTTCTGTCGCTCCCCGATACTGGCCTGATCCATCGATGCAGTGGCGCATGGGCGCATGAGTATAAATGCCAAGCAGTTTGATGGCTTCTAGAACCACTTCCAGTAACTGAGGAGAGTGAGGCAGAAAATGCTGCAGGGCGAAGGCAGGATTCTAGCCAGGGCTGCAGTCCTTCGGCCCTCGCAGACAAACGGCACCTGGCACTCCAGTTCGAGAAGCCAGACTCGTCTTCCTCCTCCACTGAGTGACCCAGAGAAAGCCAGCTTGCCCATCCGGGTCTCCCAAGAGCGCTCGTCACGGGTCTGGGCTTCCCCTTAAGGTCGGTCCGGCGTGGGGAAGCGAGCCGAGCCCACACGTCGCGTGCTGGAGGGTGGCGAGGCCACTGCAGGAGGAAGCGGGGCTTTCACTCACGGAGCGCGCGCCAGACTGCCTGGGCCAACCGGCCGTCTGTGTGTCTGTCCTTCCCTGGCAGGTTAAGTGCCATCTACGGGGGCACATACATGCTGAACAAGCCCATCGAAGAGATCGTCATAGAAAACGGCAAAGTGGTTGGCGTGAAGTCCGAAGGGGAGGTACGGCAGAGCGGCGTCCGCGTTTCCCCTGGGCAAAACCCCTCGTGATTCGCCGTCCTCGCTGCGGGGACAGTGGGGACCCCAGAAGCCTTTCCCGTCCTTCCAGGCTTCCTTCCTCTGGACACCTCTGGAAATAGCAGCCCCCCTGCGTTGGCTTTGTACGCAGCGGATGCTGCCATCCTTTTCCCCTCCGGGTTTCGGCTGCTGCTAATCCGGCCACTCTGCTGCGATTTGTGCGTGGCGCTTATTTAATGGCGGCCAGGCCACGGAGCAGCTCTGGTGGGGGAGGCGTCCCTTTGCCCGCAACTGCCCCCTCGCCGTCTCCCGCTTGCGCGCACCCCTTTCCTGTTGCATCCCTGGCACATCGGCGCTGCTGGTGGCATCAGGGGGCGCGTCGCGTGCGTGAGGGGAGCCCTGCCGCGTCACTGCCAGAGCTCCCTCCCTGTACCCCCCTGAGGGCGTGGGCGAGAAAGGGCACCCCCCCCCCCCGCACTGCAGGGTGCCCGGAACAAGCAGCACAGGAGGCGGCTGGGGCAGCGGGAGCCGGTTTCGTCCGTGGGGTTTGCTCGGTTGCATCTCTCCCCCCATTCCCTCTTGTCAGGGGCCCACAGCTGCTCACGTGGTCCCCTTCCTCCCCCTCGCCATTTGATCCCCACAACGGCCCTGTGAGATTGACCAGGCTGCAAGGCCACGATTCCTCCAACGCCCCCAGGAAGCTTCCTGGCCAAGTGGGGAGTAGAGCGCAGATGCTGCAGCCCAGCGCTCTGATCACTGCCCCACGCTGTCCTCTGTGCAGCCAAGGACGGGCGCGTTTCGCCACCACGGCAGGCCACTGCTCCGCAACTCGGGAATGTGGGAATCCACCTGCTCTTGAGCTGGTCTTTGGCCCACTGCTGATCGGGGCTGGCCCTGGCTGGCGAGCGCTTGAGACGGAGGCCTCTTCCCAGCCCGTCCTGACCAGGCCGTGGCCGAGGCGTGCCGTGGGCCCCCCTTTTTGCTGACGCCCCTCAGCAGGCCGTCCCTGGGAAGCAGCTTCCTGCCTGCCTGGCCGTGGGCATTCCTGGATGCCTCTCCCCAGAGCAGAAGCGGCCGCGGGGGCTGGTGGATGCGCGCTTGAGCAGAGGGCGGCAGGCCGGCTGCTGGCCTGGCCGTTTGCAGTGTTCCCCTGGGCTTGGCATTCGGAAGCCGCCAGCGTCCAAAACGTGTGTGCCTCCCGGCAGATCGCCCGCTGCAAGCAGCTCATCTGTGACCCCAGCTATGTTCCCGAGAGAGTGAAGAAGGTCGGCAAGGTCATCCGGGTCATCTGTATCTTGAGCCACCCCATCAAGAACACAAACGACGCCAATTCGTGCCAGATCATCATTCCCCAGAACCAGGTTAACAGGAAATCAGGTAAATCGGGGCAGGTGCCCTGTTTTCGGGGTGCGTTCCACACCCTGAGCTGCCCCCCTCCAGGCCGTGCCCTGAAGGGGGGCTCAGACCTGCATTTGCAGCGACAGGAGAGCAGGCCGGGCCTGGGGAAGCCGCTGCAGCGTGGGCTGACCGGGAGACGTGGTGCGAGAAGCTCTCGCTCCGGGCACCCGCTGAGCCTTCCGGGCACGTCTCCGGCCGGTCCAGGGCCCAGAGCGGCTCCATCCTCGCCCCGCGCGTTTGCAGCGCTTCTGCGGCCAGAGCTGGACCTCGCAGGGAGCACAGGAAGGGGTTCTTCTGAACTTGGCACGTTCCTTGGTCACGCCGAAGGGCCGGGCAGACTCACAGTCGTGCCATAGGAAAAGAAGACCAGCCTCAGGAGGGCGCCACCTCTGTGCCTGGCAGTCACGCACAGCAGGGCTACTGGGGTGGTATAGAAATGCAAATAATCCATCGCCCAGAACCTTGGGGTGTCAGCAGCGTGCTGTGCCGGCCCGGTTGGGATCCCGCAGGCCCCTTCCTTGCATCGGCCCGTGCTCAGGAGCGCCTTCTTCCTGCGGCAGGAGCAGCAAACCGAGTGCCCTCCAGACAGTTTAGTTGAGGGCTCCCAGCACGGGCGCTGGCCCCAAACACCTGGAAGGCCCCCGGGTGTCTGCCCTGTCCAGCGGTGGTTACGTGGCACTTCAGTCCCTCCTTTGATTCTCCTGGCGGGACTGAGGGCCCCTCTCAGGGGCCGCCACCTCCGTTTTATCCTCCCAAGAGCCCCGTGCGGTGGGTTGGGCTGCGAGCGAGTGAGCGACTGGCCCGGAGGCACCCCAGGGGCTTCATGGCTGAGCGAGGCCCGGAACCCGGGTCCCCCGCCCGGCGCCGAGGCCGTTTGCAGCAGGCTGCGCCCCCTGCCGGCTTCCCGCCAGCACCATGGTCTGGTCTGGTCTGGGCGTGGGCTGCGCTTGGCTGGCGGGGGGCAGGGGCTGGTCTGCCGCCTGAGCCTGCGAGCCCCGTTTGCGGTCTTCCCCAGACATCTACGTCTGCATGATCTCGTCCGCGCACAACGTGGCCGCGCAGGGGAAGTACATCGCCATCGTCAGCACCACCGTGGAGACGAGCGACCCAGAGAAGGAGATCAAGCCCGCCTTGGAGCTCCTGGAGCCAGTCGAGCAGAAGTGAGCTCCCTGCCCTGCTCCCGACGGACTGGGCTGGGCGCGCGAGCTCGTGAGGGGGGCCCGGTGCGGGGAGGTGATCCGTTCGTGGCAGGACCTGCTGGGCACCGGCAGTCCAGGCCCCTCTGCACGAGACCACCGGTATTCGCGTGGGAGTGGGCGGAGGCAGGCCCACAAGAGCATAAAGCCCGGGGGGCCCTGGCACTGGAGCGCGTTGCGAATCCCCTGGGGCAGCAAGCTGGGTGGCCCTTTCAGTCGCTGTGCTTCTTTTTACTATGAAAGGTGTTTGAAGCCCTCTCAGTGGCATCCTTCAGTGCTCTCCGGGCAGCCATTCCAGTGCAATTGCCAATAGGCAGCATAAAGAAAACTGTCAAATTTAAATACCAAAGAGAAAATAACATATGAATAATCAGCAGGAATAATACTTAAGGTCGCAGATTCTAAACTGATTTCTAAAAATTCCTCCTAGGTTTGTGAGCGTCTGCGACATGTTTGCACCAACCGATCTGGGCAAAGAGAGCCAGGTTTGTATGGGCTGGGTGGCCCTTGGACCCCCTCCGGCGGGGCAGGAGGAGCGAGGCTTCGCCACTAAACCCCCCGGGCTTTGCCTCCCCCAGATCTTCATTTCCAGCACCTATGACGCGACAACCCATTTTGAGACGACATGCGACGACATCAAAGACATTTACAAGAGGATGATGGGATCAGAGTTCGACTTTGAGGAGATGAAGCGGAAGAAGAACGACATTTACGGTGAGGAGGATCAGCAGTAGCCGTGCTTCAAGCCTTAGCTCGGCTCCGAATGGGCCGCCGGCGGTGTTCCTGCCCAGAGGAACTTCGGCAAGCACCGTACGAGTTCACTATTGTAAGGCCTGCTTTTTGTAATCATACCTGACATTGAAAGAGTCCCGCACTGGTCAAACGCTCCTTCTCCCCCCTTTGGGCATAATCATGTGTTAATTATTCTTTAAATGAGGTTGCTGGGGTCACAGTTGGCAGATACTGACACCCCACTTCTAACGTAACGTGAGGATAAGCAAACGTTCCATTTCTTTTGCTGACCAGGCTGTCGGGGCAGAAGCCAGGGCGCCTGTCATACCTGTGTCACCTTCAGCGGAGCCCTGGTAGACCTCTGGGGGTCTGACCCGGGGCCCGTGGCAGGGGCCCCTGCCCCTCCATTGGGCGGGAGCCCCTCCCCAGCAACCTCCTCCCCTTAGTCTTAACTTCATGGTGAGCTGCGTCTTGGTCCAAGCTCACAGCAGCGGTGGCCACTCGGTGGGGTTTCTCCTCGCACTCTCCTCTTCCCTCCGCCCCCCGACTAAAAGCTTCTCAAACCGTTTACATCTGTTGGGACACAACTGTGCCACAAGGCTTTTTGTGTTTTCAAAGTGATACTAATAAAAAAAAACTTGGTGCAAGTACGAAACTCGGAAGCAGGCAACGTGTGTGCAAGTATCTTCTTTTCTTTTGTCGTTTCCCCTGTACCTCGTCCGGCTTCTCGGGTGGACCAAGCTGCACTGCAGTATTGACTTGACGGAGCCCGGCCTTCTGTGTGCCAAGGCTCCAGATGACCTCTGTACTGCCAAAGTAAAGTCAACTTCTGGAAACAAGTTCCGTGCCGTGGTCTGATTCACTCGTGGCGCAACCGGGCCGCTCTCATCGCTGCGGACGGGGAAGGGGCAACGGCTGGCGTAGCGTGTGGCCCAGGATGCCCGGTTGGTTCTCCGGGGGAAAGGGAAACCCGGCGGTGGGGACCAGGTGGGAGGGATCGAGGCAGGCGCGGCTGCCCCATGGGCTTCGGGTGCTTGTGCGCTGGCCAAGGTCTCCTGTGCCTTGGCAGCATGTCAGAAGCGGGAAAATGCAGGCGAGGTCTTGGTGCGCTGGCACATCCCTCTTAGAGGTCGGCAGAGGAGGTTCTGCACATGTAGAGCTGCTCGCCGATGCTGCTCGCGTGGAGAGCTCATTTTGTAGCAGCACATGCGGGTCAGGAGGCGGCAGTGCAGCCCTTCTGTCACCAGCCGGGAGGGCACCAGCGCTCCGGCCGCCGTGTCAGAGAAGCAGCCATCCTGGCCTTGCCCTGGGCGAGGCAGATGCCCAGCGGGGAGCTGGCACAGTGCAGGAGAGCTCCTCAGGCTGCTCCGTCTGGCACATGTGGGCGACCTGAACCACCTCGTGCCAGAGGAAGGCACTGCACTAACTCAGGCCTGTTGCGCAAAGCCACATTTTGGCCTTCACGTGTGGGCAAAGGACCGCCAGGCACACACAAAAAGGCCGAAGGGCTGTGATTGTACGGCAGCCAGCACCTGCGTCTAAGTGGGGCTGTCCCTGCTGCCTTGGGAGGAGTGGAAGAATTAGAATTTGAGGGAGGACGCGCTGTGCTCTCCATGCGTCTGTCCAACTCGGCCTGGGGTCCAGTGACGCCTCGGTCTTGCCTGGGTGCTGGGGAGGTCATTTTAGCTTCTCCTGCTAAACAAATGGGGGTGGGTATGAGGGACAGAAATGAAGACTGGAGAAACTCGCCCAGGGCAGTCTGGCCACAGAGCTGAGCCCTTCCCTCAGAGGCCTTGCTCCTGCACAGCGTCGGCTGGACTGAGACTTGCGTTCGGGAGTGTGCACAGGGAGGGGAGCATGTAATTCTGTTCAACTTTCATCCTGGAGGGGATCAGATCCTAATCCCGGAAAGGGTTAGAGGGAGAAGTTGGGACTGGTGAATGCACTATTCAGTTTCTGGATCTTTCTAATTCAACAGAGAGAGCGACTTTACAAATGGGTGAAGATGAGGATGGGCAGGTTGTGCTTTTGAAGTGCATCCCCAGGGGCAGCAAACCTGCCCTCCACCTTGAATTTAGTTTGGAGTCAAAGAGAGGTTTTGTGCTTTGAACAGAAGTTATTTTGCCTTTTGTCTCCTTGGCTTGCCTTCTGCTAGGTTTTTGGCGACCCGCAATAAATGTGCAAGCCCCCCCGGTAGAAGCACTTTTGTCAGCACCCGTGGCACTGATCAAACGTATTATACGCTATCCAGCTGAAAAAGTCCTGCAGAAAGCTGTAACTTTAATAGTTTCTGCCAGTCACAGTTTGCAATCCAACACATCCCTGCTTTGCTTGCATGCTCCTGGCTTATGTTGACCTTCTAGACATCCTCTGGGCAGGCTGAACACTTCACCAGGACATGCATACTTCAGGTGCACTCCGGTAAAGAGGAAGCGATGGTGCTGCCATCTCTTAGACAGAATTCTAGAAAAGGAAGCTTAAGGGGGGAGTATTCTGTGGAACAATCTGGCGGTGCTTCCAGGGCCTCCAACTAAGAGAAAGCTGCAGCTTTGCAGTGTCTGCATTTTAAGCCATTTCCTTCTTCGGTAATTTGAGTTCCCCTTTTGGAGCTGGGGTGGCCGTTCAGGGCAGCAGCTGGAGAGAAGGAAGCAGTACCCAATTTACCAGGAACGGTACGAGTCATGGATCCGCAGGCCTCGTTACTTCAAGGCAGCGTTGCATTTATCCTAAGCCCAGGCTTGCCCAGTCCAGTGCCCTCGGTTCCCATTGGAAACAGGCGTAACCTGTTGCTGATGGAAACCCCAACTCCGGGGTGCCCGTATGGCAGCATGTGCTTCCGTGTGTGAGGACCAGGGTGCGCCCGGGTTTCTCCAGTGAGAGGCTGCAGAGGACTGGCTCTGGCCGGCAGTCGGGGCCACTGGCTTATCCCGGCCGTAAAAGGCAGCTTTGTCGCTCTGCTGCCCACGAGGGAAGCTTAGCTTGGGGCTGGGATCCAGGGAAATGGGAGGGGCGGTTCCAAGGATGCTGCTGCATCGGCTGTACTCTTTTGAGTTCCCAGCTGCTCCTAGTGGTACAGTGGTTCCTCGGCTCACGAACTGAATCCGTTCCAGGACTCTGGTCATGACCCAAATTGTTCGCTAGCCAAGTCAAGATTCCCCCATAAGGTTCAATGTAGATAAGGGTAATCCGTTTTGCAATTTTTTATTCACAAAAATTTGACGCCAAGTAACGAAGTGCAATACAGTAGAGGACACTAACCTAGGTGGGGGGGTGTTTGGAGGGAGAGTCCAAACCATAATGGTGCGATAGTGATCATGCTGGGGGGGAGGCAGACGGCCACAACCTCAGGTGCGCTGCTGCAACGCGATCGCCACCCGAGTCGATTTTTAACAAAAATTCTGTTTGCGACCCGACCTGGTCGTGAACTGAGGCGTTTGTGAGCCGAGGTGCCACTGTCATGCGAGGATGTGGGTGACTCTCACACCACTTAAGGCTCTCCAGTGGCTGAAAGCAGGCTACTAAAGGGCCCACTCGTCTGATGGCTGTGCTTACGTTCCACGCGTGGCCGACGGTACGCGGACACGCGTGCTTTGGGGCGCCCTGCTTTTCACGAGTTCTCGCTTCAGAACTCGCCTCTTTCATAGATGCTGCACGCGGCTGCCATCTTCGTTAAATGGTTTGCCACAGGGCGTGACTGGTTGGTCAAAACCAGCCCTGAGCCCATCAGCGCACAGGTGGAGTTGGGAGCGTTTTCCACCTCTTCGTGCTGCTGCACACGCGCAAGGCATGGCTTTTTGCAGCCCCGTCCCCTGGTTTTGGAGCCTGCAGCTGTTTCCGCCCTTCTAAATAATGTGACTGTCTATACCAAGTCAGGCTAACAAATTTTAGTCCACTTTATTTATAAAGATTAGTTACAAAAAGTCTCCAAAGAGATGCACAAGGTATCTAACAAGGTTTGCTTTTATTAGTGCTGCCATTTTAGTAAAACCCTTTATTGCAATACCATAAATAGACTGTCAAAAGGAAGGAACCCTAATTCAAACCATGCTATCTACAAGGGGAAACATGTTCTAATCATTACTAGTTAATAATACCCATCAGCAAAAATTAAAATGTGAAAGGTAATGTTCATTGCACAGTAACATCAAATCTTTGTTTTGATGTACAAAAAACTTCTGTACTAAGATGCTTTAGAGTCAACTGTACCAGTTCCCAATCCACCTGGGAACTGTCCTTCGCAAGGGCTGCTAGAACGAATGGAGCTGTGCAAAGACATCAATCAGGCCACTTGGGTAGGAAAACTTCCAGCTGGATTGAGCCCGTTATATGCCATGCCTGGAAAACTGGCTTAAATAGATTGACTCCTAAACCTTCAAGTAAACAGGTTTTATTATTTCCTATGATAGTTCTATTTAGCTTCACCATCAGATACATGAACTGCTTTCTTCTATTCAAGACAGGTAATAACATAAAAAATATGTTTTCCTTATGAGGTTCCACATTGTGGTTAAATAAAGACAAGTCTTCACTGCAGCTCTTAAATAAAATGGCTACCATTCTATTCAAGGAAGGAGGAGTGGAAATTTTGAAAATCCCGTTCTGGCTGCATGCGTGGCTTTTAGTGCCTATGTCTGGAAGAGGGAGGAGCTTTGTCTCCAAGCGCTTTCAGAAAAACAGAAAAGAGGTTCGTTCTCTGTCTGGAAGGTCAGGAAGGTGTTCACGCTGTTTATCTATCTGAAACAAACAAACAAACAGCCTCTGTTAGGACCACACAAGGCATTCTGAAGCTGCGAGAGAGAAAAAAAAAACCGACATTGAAGTGCCACAGGTCTGGAAAAAGGCTGTGACGCAGTACGTAGCCCACCCTATTCCAACATCACCTCACAGCCCTGAGATAGTTTGCCCTGCAACTGCCATCACCCTTCCCCATCACAGAAGCTGGTTCAGACCGATGAGCATTATGTGCAAAAGCACTTGGACAGCCACATTCTGCCATCCCAAAAGGTATTTCCTCCGAGTTTCCCAGAATTGCACCTGACTGGGAAAGGTGAAATTCGTTCCTGAACTGCATTGAGAGTGTAGGACCAGGGCTCACGCTTCAGTCCGACCACCAGCCACAAGGTCCATTTCATCGAAAGAGCCAGCAGCTTTTCTTGACCATCCAGGATAGGCTGCCATCCCTTGTTCTCCCCATACCTCTGCCTCCTCTGGGCGCTGAAACATTAGCACAGGTAGAGGCAGCCAGAAAGGGGTCCATCACAGCTCGTTCGGTACTGCAAAGAGCACCATTTCGGATTGTTCGGCACTAGGCATGGCCCCCATCCTAAGTCGGGGGGACACAGCTTCATTCCAACATCTCCATCTGCCTCCCTCAGAACGGGCACTGAGCCGAAGTGGGTCTTTCAACCCGGGATGGGGATGGGGAAAGCTACAGTGCGTGAGCCTCCGCACACCCTCGTAAGCTGCCTGGGCCACCCCTTTGTGCTGGCCGCCACTGCAATATTCAAGCCCTTGGGCAGCGGGAGGCCTACACAAGGTTTGTTTAGCCCTCGGACAACCCCGGCCACTCAAATCACACCACAGAACAAGCCACTGCAACCACGGGCCACAGCCTGTATCCTCCAGTGCACCCAAGGGCCTCAGACCAAGCCAGTCCGCAAGCTGGGCCCAGGGGCAAAACTGCATTCGCCTTCTAGCAGGACAGGCTGAACCAAAAGAGATGCCCGGGAAGGGCTGGTGTTGCTTGGGCATTACACAGGCTGCCAGGGCAGCCCCACGCTTTGGGGGAAGACGTGGTTTCCTGGAGCACTTGCCCCAAGGCCAAGGGATCTGCTTCAGAGGGCAAACGGCTGTGTTCACCGGCCACAAAACCTCCTCCATCACCATCTCGTTTCAGGAGCACCCGAGGCCCACTGATTAACAGGGTGCCTGCAGTGCTGTGCTCGTGTAGCAAAACAGTAGCCGCCCCGAAACCACCTGTTGGGGGTCAAGGTGGTGCTCTGGCCTCCGACGGCCCAGCGAACCCTTCACAGACGCGGCTGTTGCAAGGACAGAACGGGAGCGGGGAGAACCCGCAGGCAGCATACGGCGCACTTGGGCAGAACCGTGAGAGCAGCCAAGAAGCATCTGGAAAGCAGGAGAAGAGGCAGGCCACACGATGGCACCCTCTTCACACTTCTGTCCGAGGCGCCACTTCCCATCTGCAAGGCCTCTTAGCATACGGGGGGGGGGGGCAGGCTCTTCTCATCCAAACATGCAAGTGGGGAGGGGCTGGGGCGGGGAGGGGCTTGCTTACACTCCCCTGGTGAGTTCCTGGCAGAAGTGACACAGCCCAGAGAGTTCCTGGTTTGCAGCCCAGTGGCTGCTACGGCCCCAGCTCAGGCCAGTGACGTTCCTCAGAGACGGCTCCTAGGAGGGACAGAACGGGCAGCACCCACTTCCCCATTTGTGAGAAGAACACCAGGGCTCCTTACCAGTAGCTGCTCCTGAACGGCGTCACCAGGTCTCGAGCTGTCGCAAGGAAAGTATTTACATCCAGCACTAGGATCCCCTTGCTCTCCAAGGCCTCCCGGCTGGCACCCAACTTTTCTGCAACAGGAGGACGACAAGGAGTGGTCACTGCTGACCAGGACAGCGTGGCTGCAGGCCGCACCAGCATCCGCGGTGGGTGACGCTGGACCGCCAGCGGCCCAACTGCATCCCCTTAAGAAGATCTGCATTGGAGGGCATCCCGCTCTGGGCAGCTGCTCCCCAGATCAGGGATGAGCTGAAGAGCTGTCAAAAGGTGAAGGCACGCCTGCCACAGAAAGCGCCTCCCCGCGTGAAGCAAGCCTGCGCCACAGAACCCACCCTGGCTACTGCTGCTTGTGCAAGTCACCCATTCGTGCAGTTTCCTCCTGGGCTCCGTTTCTGCACGACGGGAGGGACTTGTGCCAGAAGGTGGCACACCTACGCCTGAGGGCTTGATGCGAAGCGGCGGCCCACGCAGGTTTCCTACCTGTGAGGAACACGGCAAACCTCTCGCTGGCGTGCTGGGCCTGCAAGCTCAGCAAGCAATTCGCAAACTCGTCTCGTGGGCAGGACCTGCAGTCACACTGATGGTAGTGAAGGACGCTGGCGATGTTTGCCCCCAGGCAGGGCTGCAACAGGGCCTCCTTGGCACGAGCAGCGGGATCCACCCTGTGGGGGACAGAGGGAGGCAGAGCTTCAAGAGGCTGACCTTCCGTGGCTTTGCTTCCCACGCGGCTTAAAGGCCCCCCTCTGACACTCAAGACGGTGCCAGTCTGGAGAGAAAAGTCCCCTGTGCCAACACTCCCATGCCCTGACGCGGCCGCAGCCGTCCCCACGTGCCGCCCTGGTTGGCACACTGCTTCCGCCTGCCCCGGTGGGTGTGCGTGATGAAAGTCAGCTGCATCGGATCCTTTCGCTTTGCGGTAAACGAGCTGGAGGACTGCCAGGCAAAGGCTCCGGGTGTTCAGGGCCAGCTGGGGCTGCCTGCCAGCCCCACACGGGCAGCAGAAGGCATGTGGTCCAAAACTGACAACAAAGCACCCCCTGCGCATAGGAGCTCAGTCGGCATCCTCCCTCCAAAGATGCATCGCCCAGGCTAAGGAGCAAGCTGCCCGGCTGGGGCTTCACAGGGCCTGGTGGGCCAGGGCTGGCCTGGATCTCCAGGGACCTTCAAGCCCCAAAGCTCCTGCCGCCCAGGCTTGTCCGCACACAAGAGCCGTGTGGGTGCAGGAGCATGGCTTGCTGCCCCTTGTTTGAGGGGAACGCCCCACAGCCTTCCTTACCGAGGGGAGATGCTACGGAGCTAAGGAGAAGGGGGAGGGACGCAGCACACCCCAGGCGGGTAAAAGGCACCCCCTGAGCTGCCTGGGGAAAGCAAGAAGCTGCCATGGGGCCACCAGAACCCACAGCTCCACAAAAGCCAAGGGTGACCAGGCAGCGCTGCCACTGATGAGCACACGAGCCGACGCCGCCCAGGAGGGAAGAGCAGGCCCTGTTCTGAAGCCCATTTCGGGAGACTGGGCAGCCTCCAAGGGAGGCCAGGTGGGCGGCAACAAGGAGATGGGGCTTTTTCCTGGCAGCCCCCTACCTGCAGAGAGAACTACCCACCGAGGCCCACCTGGCACCAACTTTACTACCTTTGCAGTGCCAGGTTAAGCCTGTCCTCCACTGCAGGGCCTTTTGCTAGTTACGCTTACTTTGGGGTTTGGGAGCTGCTTAAGCAGGTCTCGTTAAAATAAAAGTAACGTAGCTGCCATCCTGTTAGCTTAAAATTTGATTTTAACAGTTATATGGTGTCCTTTTTTATGACGTCTTGACTGCTGCTTGTATTTCATATTGTATTTTATGGGCTGTGAACCACACGGGCTGCATCATGCCCTGACATGAAATGATGTGAAGAGTCCCTGGTCTCCCTGAAGGGAGACAGGCTGAGCACCCAGGACAGGCCTGGGGTCTCCCCAGGTTGCTCCGCGCCCAAGCGGGGACGAGAGCTGGGATCACCCAAGGCCCGGCCTGGCCCAGCCCGGCCCTCCAACCACTGCGCCACACTGGCTCTCGCAAGATTGCCTTGGCACGCATGCGGGGAAGCAGCTGATAGCCTCTGCTCGCTCCAGGGGCCTCTGAAAGGGGCTTGCTGTCCCCGGGAGGCCAGGAGACGCAGGCTGAGATCCTTCGCAGCACTGGAAAAGGGGAACTTTTCGTAGACTGGTTAGAAGCGTCTGGGGCCTGGAACCAGCCCTTACCTGGCGCTCTCCTTCAGCTTCTTCCTCTCCTTGTAGTGCAGCAGCCACTTCCACCTCCCGTGGCCACTGAGCTGCTCCAGGGTCTGGAGTACCTCTCTCAGTTCCCCTGAGGAAGGAACACACATCACCGTAAGAGAGCAGAGAAGCATCGCTGTATAGCTCGTCTACCACCAGCGGATGCCTGCACGGCCCGGTTATTCATCCCACTAGTGCCTTGGGCTTGACCCTGGGACCTTACGAAGACGAGCTTGGGTGGAGGGTGGCACAGAAGGGCTCCCTCTCTCAGTCGGGACCACCGACTCAAGCCTTCCCAGAATGGCCTTCGCCAGTAGCCATCCCATCAAGTCCCATCAGCTTGGCAGGAACTGCTGCCTCTGCTGCAGAGCCCTTCAACTTCATTGTGCAAGAGCAAGAAAGCAGCAGCAGACACAATTGCGCTAACTCCCCGCTTCCTTTTAGTTTGCCTTTTCATACTGTTTCTTGCATTGCAGTACAGCTCTGTTTTAAACAGTGAATTGTCTCACAGGAACTGGTGGAAAAGGAGTAGATGAAAGCATCACACAAACAAGTCCTCAAAGTATTTTCTGTAGCAGGGCACAAGGAATCTATTTCCAGCCTGCAGGCCAATTCCAGCCTGCTGAGTCTCGGCCAGTGTCCTGAAGCACCCACCTCTCTTAGAAGGGATGGGGAGGCAGCTGTGGTTCCAGAAGCCACCCTTGAAGCAAGGGGAAAGAATGCCAATGGAGCAGCCGCCTCAAAGGCCCCAGAGCAGCTTCGAGCGGTAGTGGCTGAGGGTTCTGCTCACCCTAGTCAAGTTTGCAAACACCCTGTTAAGTAGGCTCAGATTATTCTTCTGATGGCTCCACATCTCCCCCCTTCTCTCTGACCTTGTCTGTGGTGTTCAGGGGCAATCTGTGCATTCATTAACCCCACCCCATGAATTGTGGGGAATGCTGCATCCATTGGTTGCTACCAAGATATCTGAACCAAGGCACCTAAGGTTGTTCATGGGTTAAACAACCCCAAGGTAACCCAAGAACAACCCAAGGGCTTAATTAACCCAAGAATTGTTACTGCCCTTATGTGCGCATAACCTCTGTATGTGCCTGTGCTTGTTTTAGGCTAAGAAAGTGCAGCTTGCCTAAAACACCCAGTGACCTGAAGGCCAAGGCAGCACTCACAGTCCCCAGTTTGCACCCCGAACTGCCACAGGCCACCAGCTCAATGCTATGTAGTAAAAACAACATGGAATGGACAGTTGGCAAAAACCATCTGGTTAAGTAAAAGCCACTTTAGCATTGATCTCTCTGAGAAGCGGCATGATCCAAAAATTCGGATTCCTGCATTTGTCCAACAGAACAACGAGAGCTATTGAATGCATGAAGACGGGGCTCTGGGATGCATTTCCAGCCCAGCAGAAGGCAGCTACTAAATGCTGTTGGGCAATTTTCCCTGATGCACTAGTTTTCTATGTGCAGAGAGGGTTGGCTTTGTTAGCCTTGGCAAGAAATGCAATCACAGGGTTTGCCCTGAGCTGCAACATGGAGCCACCAGCCGGGTGCATGTTCTGGGGGTTGGAGAGACAGCCTGCAGAATGGTCCGTGGGCAAGGAAGACACAGCGGCTCACCCGGCATCATCATCTGGAGCACCGTGTCGTCAGTCACCACAAAGCCGCCACTGTGGAACAGCTCCTGATAGGTGTGCTCCAAGATGTCCTCGGGACTGTCCACCCCAGCAAACGTCACGCTGGGCAAGTGCTTCAGCCTCAGCAGGGCAGGGATCTGTTCCGGGACACAAAGGTTCACTGCAGGCAAGACGGCAACAAGCACCAGGGAGCTGTATCACAGGCACTCTAAGAGGGGCTGCTCTTTCTCAGACTCGGAGCAGGATGGCCCAAAGGAGCTGAGAACTCCCATCCACGAGTTTTTAAAAAGCCTCCCAACATTTAAAATCTTTGTGCAGGCTGTGATTTGTCCTGTCCTGCAGAACTGAGCCCTGTTTTACTCCCTGTATAAAACTACATGGATTGATCCATAAGATTAAAGTCCAGCTTCACCCCTACCTTCTCCGCCTCAAGAATCCACCAGATTCCTGAGATATCCAGAGAGAGAGAGCATAAAAGCAATCATCCCCCATCCCCTGGTATGGAAGGATACACCAGGCCTGTGCATGGAGGTTCCACTTCATGATCAAGAGTCGGCACCTGCCCCATGAATGCCCAACCCTCTTCTGAAGCCATCTAAGCAAGGACTGACTGTGTCCGTTGGCCCAGCAGGCTACTTGAGTTCAGACACTGCGAGCGCCTTTCCAAAACCCTTGTGTTGTCTTGCTGCATTGGACTTCAACTCCCAGGCATCAGGTTGGGAAAACCTGTGTTAAAATATGGTGCTGATCCTTCTTTCTTAACATCCATATTCCTCTTTTCCTCCAAGGAACACAAGACAGTGTGCCTTTTCCTCCTCTGCTCCATTTTATCTTCACAACCCTGCAAGGTGGGTTAGGTCAAGAGTCCAGCCCAGAGTCGCCCAGGGCAATTCATGGCTAACGGGGGACTAGAATCCTGACCTCCTGAGCCTGAGTGCAGCACTTTATTGGACTCAGTCTAACCACCGCAGCACACTGGTGCTCTCAGTCACTTCTGCACACCATGCAGGCAAAATGGTCCAGAAGGGCCAAGGGGGACAAATTGTTGCGGGAGGAGAAACCCAGCCATATCTGGCAAGTCTCTTGTAATGAGAGAGGCGGGAGAGCCTTTGCAACATACTTTATGTATGTGTGGAAATATGTCCTCATTCCTAATGACGACCATCAGTTTGTCCGTCTCCATGTGGCTGGTCTGGCAAAAACGCAGAGGCTCCGCTTCGGTGTGACCTCCTTTTTTCAGCAAATTCTGAAAGGACATTTGAAAAAAAAATCTGTCACTGGAACTGAACTACACTTTGGACAACAGTTCTGCTTCCACAAGACAAGACGGTAGTTTATTAGGGCTTTGGGTAGCAGGCAGATGCTACATCAGCAGGGAGGGAAGGACGGACGGACGGAAGGCTGCATGGACAGATGGATGGATGGGAGGGAGAAGCAAAAACATTGGCTTCAGTGCACCAAAATCCAGAGACACTGACCAACAACTTTTGACTAGGACAAAAGGGCACCCGCAGCTGCCTTCCAATCACAGGAACCCCAAGACCAGATGGGCTCCCTCATTCTGGACATGCACAATAGAACAGGGCTTCTTTGATCAAGCTAAGGCCAAAGATATGTGTGAGCGCACCCTTCCACATACGCAGGCGCTGCTGGCTCAACTAATGCTGAGGCCAGATTGGCCTCTGCAAAGCACAGGGACTGTTCAGGCACAGCCCCAGAACTTTGCAATGCTCTCCTGTGTGGTGGTGGTGGTGGTGGTGGTGGGGTGTGTGTGTGTGTGTGTGTGTGTGTGTGTGTGTGTGGTGGGGGGAGGGCATGGTTCCCACTCAGCCATCTCTGCAGAAGCAGGTTAAGATCTTTTTCAGTGCCACTGGAAGGTGAGTCCATGACCACACTGCCCCACTCACCCCTCCATGGTTTATTTATCACTTGGCATCTTAATTGTCCTGATATTTTATGAATTGACTGCATGGCACAACACTCTGGAAATTCATACTGAAAGACAGACAGAAATCGAATTCAAGCAACCAGCTCCGTCTGAGGTTGCAGTGACAAATTTATAGGACCAGCTCAGGAGGAGGAGACGAACAGCTTCTTTCACATGCCAGTGGCATCCAAGCACCAATTTGTACCCTTGCGCTGGCCCAGGTGACATAAGCCAAACTGCAGGCTGGCTCCACCAACCGCCCGCGGGTGTTTCTGGTTGGAGAAAGTGCTGTGGCAAGTCTAGAATCGGCACCAGAGAGACCGAGGATGAGTGGGGCAGAGCAGGCATGGTATCCCCACAGAAGACAGACACAGCATCTGTACCGAAGACTTGGTCCCGAGGTAGAATGGGGCAGGACACAGGCTTCAGAACTGTGTTGTGATTTTTTTTAAAACGAAATGTATTATTTATATCCTCATCAACAACTACATTATTTATTGGTTTATTTATTTGCATTCATAAATTTTACCCTACTGTATTGGTAGAAATCATGTCATAGATACCAGCTGAGCGAAACTTCTGAAACACTGAGTCCAATTCATGCAAGTCCCTGGATATGCCAACTGGACATCGTACTTATGGCAGGAAGTCCAGACTGGTGCATCCCCAAGCCTGGGGGATTTGGCAAAGGCCGGCCATCTAACTGGCAGTTTGCAGGCATCACGCTGCTCAGACAGAGCCATGCAAATTTATACGGGCATCATGAAAGCCGACATGGGGTTTTCAGCACAACATGGTCCAGAAGCCCTCCCACCATTCCAGGAGCAGAGATTTTCAGTCACGGGCACTGGAGGATGGAATCAGCCGAGATGACTGTGAGGGGTCTCAAAACCACACTGTGACTGGGCATCCGGATGGTACTGCCAGCTCTCCAAAGCCAGGGCTCACTTGTTATCCATCCATCAGGCAGCCGTTTCCCCCTGTGCTGTGGGCCATGGCAGATCTCATGCCTGGGTCTCTTTTGGGGCTAAAAGAGGTTCGCATGGGGAACTCCTGGAAACACCTGATGGGCAAATCTGAGCATTTGCAAGGACAGGGAGATGACTTTCATAGCTGTTGATTGCCCTGTTGCCTCCCAGAACTCAAATCTGCTGGATGGGTTTAAATAAAAACTCTTTGGACAACTCTCAAAAGTAAGAGTTCACCAAGAGGGGTTGGGATGCAGATCTCCTCTTTCTGAGGCCATACAGAAAATGTGGAGAACACTGAGAAATGGCAGGACAATATTTAAAAACAGAGATTATGCCCATGGGGAAGCCATGCTCACCCCCCCTTCGCCACTATGATTTCAACTGACAGCAGCCTCTATGCATCTTGCCTGCTCAGTGACCATGGGTACTGCCTACGATGCTTTGACAGACCAACTGGGTTCTGCCGTGCAGACCCCTGGGATACCAGCTGGGGTAATGGAGAGGGAGAACACCACGAGCAATGCCCGGTCATCTGCCAGGCACACCATCAGTCGTCCCACAAGCCACCCAAGCTGTGTGGCTCATCCGCAGGATGGATCACACACAGTGCTGCAAGAACACAACCAGGCGGAGATCACTTCCATGCAGTAGAAGGCTTTCCCTGTACGCTTCTGCACTTGGCTGCTTGTCTCTATCCAGCCTGAGCCATTCCACATTTGTGTGGTGTGCAGGATGAGGCTGTGCTTCATAAATGTGGCCTTATGCTTCCGTCATAAACATGGATGCATCCATAAGCATTCCTTTATGGCTAAAATCACTTTCACGCCTTCACCACCAATCTGTGCCCACCCTGACTGTTTCAGGCTGGCAGCCAAAGGCACTTTTATTCTTTCTGGACTTCACCAAAACTAAGTTTAATCCTGATGCCAGATGAATCTCTTTTATTTGGTTTTAAACTTAGGTGTATTTTCCCCCCAATAGCAGCTTTGTTTTAAAATATGTATTGAATTATTATGTATTTAATAGACTGATAGAAATATTTAAAATATGGCCAGCAGTCTAAGTAGCTGCCTGGCTTGAACATGTGGGGCAGGCTTTCCCAAACAAACATAACCCTTCGTTCAGCCTTGTCTCTCTAATAATCTCTGTTCCCACATTCTCACAGTCCAGTTGCTTCCTCCTACCATATCCTTGTTCAGCCAAACACCATTTGTGGAACACAGCATTTAATTTAACTAGAAATAGGATCTGAGATGCAAGTGTCAAGGAAATAAGGAGGGGGGAACAGTAAAACCGAAATAAGTGCCATTTTTTCAGCCAGTTTAATTTTTATTACCTGCCATTTATCCAAGAAACTCAGGTAGTATACATGGTCTCCCACTCATTTCATCCGCACAAGAGCCATAAGAGGTAGGTTAGTCAGAACCTGAAGACCAGTGGAGTTGCAAAACTCACGAGGCCAGTGTGGTGTAGTGGTTCAGACTGGGTCTCAAGCAACCTAGGTTCAAGTTTCTGCTCAGCCATGGAGCCAACTGGGTGGCTCTGGGCTAGTCACAGACTCTCAGCCCAACCTACCTCACAAGGCTGCTGTTACAGGGATAAGATTGAGAGCAGGAGAATTAGGTAGCCACTTTGAGGTCATTGGGACAAAAGTGGGATATAATGCAAATAAATACATAAAGCTAGCCAGGGACAAGTCCTATTGGACACAAAGGTGAAATGCAAGGCCTGTCATGCCAATCGAAGTATTCTCAGAACAAGGCCAAAAGTATCTGCTGCCCTGACAGCCTCCCCCAGAAACTGGCTGTGTCAGTAAACATGGCGGTCACTTGCACCAACCCACCATTATTTAGGTTAGTCCTCATGTCAAACAGGCCACTGCCATGGGTCGCCCTGGCCGAAGTTCAGCACTGCATCATGCTAGCTATCAGAACACCCAAAATGGGCGCTTCTTGATCATTGTGAAGAGGCAATCCTATGCAAGTTTAGACACTAAAAAGGCCTACAACTCCCCAAATGCCCCAGACCACTGGCTGGGGCATGCCGGGGGCTGCAGGATGGTCTGGGACACAGTGGGAGTTGTAGGCCTTTTTGATGTCTAAATTTGCATTGTACCTTAAATGTGTGTTGGCAATGCCACTATACATTTATTTGTCATTGGTTCACTCTGCTTTTAAAATTAAACACTCTGCTTTTAAAATTTTTAAATTACTGCTTTTTCACATTAAACTACAGGATAGAAAGCAATCATTAGAAAATGGATGGAATATACGTGAAATAAAACTTTACAAAAATGTAAAGAGCAGCTTCTGGAAACATAAACAATGCAAAATGACAGAATACTTTAAAATAGTTCCAGTAAGATCTGATACTTTACTGGCCAAACGCCTGGAATGACTCTTGAAAACACATTAATTCATTAATTTATTAATTTACAATATTTACATATGGCTTCTCAAATCCAGGAAAAGATGGAGAAATGGTAATAATGAAAAAGCAGATTCTTAAGCATGTTGTTTGAATGAACTACCATGTCTGTAGGAACTCACGAGCCACCAATGTGGCCAACAAGAAGCAGCAGGAAGTCCTCTTTCAACACTGAGGCATACGTTTTCCACTTCACATATGTTAATGGAGGACTAGAGTGCTCCAGTCCAGCTGGAACTTCAGTTGTTCAAACTGCAAGATTCACAACACTCCTATGCACCAGTTTCTAGCCTTTACCCTAATGTGCTAGTTTTCTACATGCATGGATTTGTACCTCTGTCATGTGTGCCCCCATCCACAGCCTGAAGTGCCACAGACCCAGCCCAGGGTGGCAACCTCAGGGAGCCTTAGGCAACCCAGGCTGAGGCAAGCAATCTTTGGTGCACAAAAGCCAGTGTCAGCTTCTCTGTGGCCCCGTTTTCAAGTATACTGGGCATTTCCTGAGAATGTTGGCTACTTGGCAGATGAGAAGATAGAAGAAATAAACAAACTACAAACAGACAGTGCCCAGAAAGGTAGCAAAAGCTCCCTCCACAGTCTACTCAGGCTTCTGAGGATGGGGAAAAGTTGGGAGGTACAATAAGCCGGTGAATTCAAGCCAGTCTTTGTTTGCAAGGTGGGCACAGCTGTAGCTTGCTGGTGCCCTCCTTCTGCTTCCAGGACTCCATGCAAGAAGCCGTGCCTGCATCCCTTCTGCCCTTTAGTTCAGGGGCCAAACCACCACCCCAGGCCAAGGCACTAGGCCAGATGATGTCAAGAGGAGGGGGCATGTCCCCCTCCCATGACATCATCCACTCTACCCACTTCTTTTTTCCCCACACCAAGGGAAGCACAGGGCGCTGCACTGCTCTCTGCACGGAGGGGGAACCTTGGGCTATTTCTGCTCTCCAGCCAGAGATAAATAAGGGATTTCCTTTTGCACTGCACACCCTGCAACTGGGAAGTAAATTGTACAAAGGTGGGCCTCCTTGTTTTCTCGTCTGCTTTGTGAACTGCCCAGGAGCTCCGGCTGTTTGGTGGTAGTTATTAAATAAACACCGAAATAAATAAATAAAACCCGAGGTAGAAGGCCAGGGGGTAGGCTGGGGGAGAGGGAGGGGTTCAGAGGGCGTGCCCAGCACTCTTCTTGCCATCCATGCAAATTAGGAGGCAAAGAGGGCCATGCAGAGAGGTGCTGGTGTGATTTAGCACTGAGGGAGAAGTGGCTATGAAGTGGAAGGCAATCAGGCACCTTGGGTGCTGCTGCCGCTGTATCCAGCATGAAGGCCATGTACGGCTGTTGGTTTCTTGCAAGCCAGAAGTGGACCGTGAATCAATACGAGTCCTCTCTGGATAGAAGATCTCCCCTTTCTTTCCTTAGCTTAACCAGGGATATAGATGCACACCAACGCTAACCAGGGCTCCCCACTTGACTTGAGTTTGAAATCAGATTTCAAGCTAATCTCATGTTAAAGGAAGGGAGGTAGACCTCATGCAGGAAAGATAGAGCATGCAAGCCTGTTTTGCAAAGGGCAGCCTACAAGAGGCCCAGATTCCCTCTGCACTAGCTCCAGCACACATTGAAATAGTAGCTTGCCATTTCTGAAGTGCTTAAAACCTCATACAAAGCTTTAAAGCCAGTATTTTTACCTTTACTCTCCCAAAGAAAGGATCGTTGTCCGTTTCCATCAGGTAGAATGCGTAAGGTTTCTTGCATGCTTCCTGGGCAACATTTTTAAGTCTGAAATGTAGTGCGTTGCACAGTTCATTGAAGAGGTGCTCGTAGGACGCTGCCCTCCCAGGGCAACTTTTCTCAGGAGCAACTTCTGAGGTAGTTTTTAGATCTCTCCCTTTGTTATTCGTCAGCCTGTCATCCAACATCATCACCCTGCTCAACTCAGCAAACTCGTCCATGATGACCGAGATATTGCCTCGGAAATCTTTTAGCTTATTATTGTAAGTTAATTTGTTGAGATGGAAAGGAGTAGTCGAGCTCTGTCCTTGGCACTGAGCTCTAGCAGCACTGCTCACTGAATCCTGCGTACAAGTGACAGGGGGCCCCTGAAATGAGTCAATGAATCTGTTGCTTCTGGAGTACCAGTGGGAAGCACGAGGTTTGGGGCCTGGGTTCACAACAGTTATCAGAAGTGGACTTCTGCTTCTGGGTGGTGGACTTGAAACATCTGTATCTGGTACCTTTCGCAATGGTAATGTTTCTGCTATTACCTGAGGTGAAAAGCCTTTTGTAAAGGTATCAGTAGAGGTAGAATATTGTGGGTTCTTCAGGACTTGTTTCACCTTATAATGGAAACGCAAGCACTCCATATCTAAAGTGTTCTGAACAGGGTCATTCAAAATTCTCCAAGTCCGATTCAAGGAGTGTATGAATCCCAACTCTCCTGTGAAACTGTCCTGCCCCTTGGAAGAGTGAAAAGTTCTTGTTTTCTCTTTGTGCTTCTTCGTTACAGAGAAGTTGATATAATCCTTTAGGAGGCCTGGCTGATTGTCAGTCTCTAGCAAAGGTGAGACAGACCTATCATCTTCTTTAAATGTAAAATGCCAGTCACGTTTCATAGCTTCACGTTCAGCAGCCGACCCTTTCTCATTTTCTGGGTACATCCAATCACCATTCGTACAGATGTCCTCGTCAAGGTCCAAGTCACGGCTGTAACCGCCTCCTGGTGCCACAGCGGATCCCCTACAAGAACTCTTAGACCCACTCCCATGACACGGATCTTCAACCACTTCTTGGTCACCATCCACAGAAAAGGATTCTTTTTCCCAGCTCATATTTGTATCTACAGCTCCAGCAGGTGATGTTTCACCAGTTGGGGACACTTCGGGACCCTCCAGACTCCCTCTTGTGTTCTCATGCATGGCTGAATCAGACCCTTCAGAGGAATGTTCTTTCTGGCATCTGGCTGGCACAGTGGCCAAGATTTCTATGCTGACCCCCTTGAACTGGACTTCCCCCTGGGATGCAGATGCATCATGGCTAGCTCCTCCTGGGCCAGCATCACACAGCATGGGAGTGGTGGAGCGGTCATCCATGGATGATACACCTGGCTGTGCCAGTGGGGAGTTGCAGTCTATGCTTGCTGTGTCCTTCTCGGGCCAATCTGAGCTACATGGGCTCAGATGAACATCCATGTCCATGGAGGCGACTTCCTCCTCTCGAAGAGGACTTCTTGCAGACATACCCGCTGGACCAGATCTCACCCTTCCATGCAGCACCAGAGGACACTGCCCCTGCTCTTGCACAATGGCTCTCTCTTGGTCAGCAAAGGTGCTCAGCTGCTCTAAGCATTCACCAGCCATCCATGTTGGGTCAGCCTGGGGCCAAGGGCCCATTGTGCAGCTCTCTTCGTCACTCTCAGGAGGGGTCACACACTCCAGGGTTATGGAACTAATCCAGTTTAAGTCTGGATTCTCCTTAGCAGAAGAGTCTTCACCCTCCACAGCCGCGGCACTTACTGTGTCTATCAACTCAGAAACAACAGCCTTGGTATCTTCTGATACAGGAACTCCAGTCGAATTTAATTCTTTGTCCTCAGATGCAACTGCTTGAGTTACAGAAGAGGCTCCAGCATTCCCAACACTGACACAAAACATTTCCTTTTCTGAGTTAGCGTCAAGCTCCATACACTCTAACCCCAAGTGTTGAGATTCCTTTTTGCCTTGAGAATCTTTCTGTAATTCTGGCACTGGTCCTGTCTTCGGCACCTTGTGTGTGACTGTCCTGTGCTGAACTTGGTGTAGCTTATCTGTGTGCACAGGAGCCATGTCAGGCAGGACTACCTTATTTTCCTGGTGAGCACAGGAATCCTCAGTCATACTGGCTTGCTCTGGAAGGGCAGCACTTTTTGTCGCCACAGCAGGAATGCCTTGGCTTCCTGACAATTCTGCTATCTTGTTCGATGGTGTATGACCACCAGGGGTAGCCTGCAACAGAGCTGCATCAGCTGGGATATTTTCTTCCTCTGCCTGGGGAACACAGGACTCACAGACCCAATCCATATCTTCTGCAAGGTTTGAGGCTGACATAACAGTATCCTCTTGGTTTTCTATAGATTCTCCTTGCGCAGACATACCATTTTGCACTTGGCCATGTTCAGAAGTGTGTAAATCGGCCAGATGAATGGATTCCTGGGAAATATCTTCAATGAAATCCATTAGATTTGGAGATACAGGAAACCTGGTTGATTCTGCTGGGTCTTTGGAGGCCTCTGGGAATTCTTTATTAGGAACAGTATGATGGACAGGACTAGCATGTCCTGAAATGGAAGCAGCCAGATTTACTCCTTGGTTTTCCGTTGGAAGACAGGAAATATCAACCACACTAACCGGGTCTGCAAACACAGGAGTTGTCTCTGGCACAGGAGAACCTTGGCTCCCTGCTTCTTCCCCCTGGGCTGCTCTATCCTTCTGTAGCTGGAATAATTCAGATGTCTGCGTGCAAGCCAAGTCTGCCGAATTTATTCCCTTACCCTGCTGGAAGACATATGCATTTGCATCCATGCCTGGTAGGCCTGGTGATACGGGATGTTCATCTTCAACAGCCTTGTTGTCAGTCCTTGGCAATTCCTCTGCTTCATCCAGGGCTATCTGATGAACTGGGCTAGCTTGGGGTGGAACTGAATCAACCAGGTGCTCAAACCCACCTCCTTCCAAGAGGCAGAAACCCTCAATGGAGTCTGTTTGGTTCCGAGATGCAGAATTTCGGGGTGAATTTGGGGCTGCAGAATCTGACTGGCTATCAGGCAATTCAGAAAGTATAGCAGGCGATGCAAGAGAGCTGAATTGGCTGTCACAACCTTTCAAGGCCAAGTCAGATGCACCAGCTGTTTCTCGTTCTTCTGCCACACTAGTTTCTTCTGGGAATTCTCCATTCTCTTGATCCAGGTCGAAATCCCGGGGTTCCACATCGGCATCATTGCTTTCTGAAAGAGCGAGATCAATGGATTCCCACTCAACACTTTCACCATCTGCATCTTCTTCATCCATGGGGATATCCCGTGGCGCTCTCACTTCTCGGCAAAGACTTTCATCTTCCCTGCAATCTGCATTTGCATCTAACCACACAGCCTCAGACATATGGAGCAATTCCGTGCCAGTCGTCCGGTGGTTCTCCTCCCCCTCCTCTGCAGGAGGAGTGGCACTGTTTATTTTCCAGCTCCCCACGGAAACAGCAGCCTTGTTGCTTGCTATAGGCTCTTCGCCTGCCGAACCCCCTGGAGGTTCAGCACATATCACGGCAGCATCACTCTGGGAAGCTTCCACGATATTAATGGCTCGGTTTGCTTCTGCCATCGTATCAGTTCTATACGCCCAAGGCCTCGAACACCCGTTCCTGTGTACATCCAAGGCGTTTACGTTCAAGCTTTCACCAGAGAGAGCAGGATCCGTCGAGCATTCTTCTTGTTCCTCCCCAGACACCACCTGAAAATGTTCAAGTTTCAAGTGTTCAGTGAGACTGACAAAATCCCCAGGGTCTTCAAAATCTGCAAGCTACCTGAGGACAGTCAAAACACAATTGCAGAGCAGTGCAAATGTTTACCAGGCATTACTAGAAGACCTGCCTGGAGCTGAACCAACCTCTTCCACCTTTCTAGTCCCTTCAAGACTCACTTAGACATGTTTACTGTAGAACAGGCTCCACAATCTGTCATCCTCCCAAACAAAATGCAGTCTTCTGGGTATGCACTGCAACCTGCAAGGTGCACATGCCAGGAAAGGAGCAAAAAGAAGGGTTTTCCCATGGGCCCTGCCCTACTGTTATGTCCACCTGTTCTAAAACACTTTTCTAACAACAGGGACATGACAAAATGAATGCTGATACTAAGGAGGCCACTTCCTGTGTCATGATCAACCAGTGGAAATACTAATTCTTCCAATGACAATACTATTTCTTTCTGTTTCACCTTCCTTAGATGTCCCCATTGCCTTTAAAACCTAGCACCAGGTTCTCTGGGATGTGCAAACATTTGCCACAAAAATACAAGCAGTCTGTTGAATAAGAACTGTAGAGAGAACTCTACAGAGAACTGTAGAGTTGGACACAGGGCGTCCCAGGTACCTGGAATCTCCAGGGAAGGCTGGGAAAGACCCATCTCTGAACATTTTAGAGAGCTATTGCCCATCTGTGTTGAAAATTCTAGGACAGTTCCTCTACTCCTACATCCATGAAAGTGGCAGAACTGAGGAGTGGCTGTCAATAACAGTTACGCTGAACCATACCAGAATGTCCATCTAGTCCAGCATGATGCCTTCCACAGCGACCAATCAGAAGCCTGTGGAAACCCAACAAGGCCAAGTGTGTATTTATCATTTTGGGTGCCACTACTCAGGTGGCCCTCTCCCTTGTAGCCTCCTCCACGAGAGACATCTGGAGGAGGGCCTGTGAACATAACCTAACAATCTGACCAGGTCTATGCTGGAGGAGAAGTCCCTTCAGATACTCTAGCTCCAAGATATTCAGGGCTTTAAACATTAGCCACACTTTGAATCGAGTCTGGAAATGGACTGGAAGCGATGGCAGGCTAGGAACCAAAATGGCTCCTTACAGCTGCTGCATTTCAGGCCACAGGCCGTTCAGCATGGATTGTGGTGAGAAACATCAGGAGCAGGAGATGCCTTCTAAACTTCCCAAAGACCTCTGGTTGGCCACTGCAGGGAAACAGGATGCTGGGCTGGATGGAGCTTTGGTCTGATCCAGCAGGCGCTTCTGATGCTCTTAACTAAGCCAGTTTTCCAGCACACAGCTGCTGAGGCAGCCACCAAGGGGCTACTGCAACAGAAAGGACCACTGATCGCGACAGGGAGAGAGGAAGGGCTCTTCCTACAGCTTCACTTGTTCTCAGATAAGTCTGTTGTGCTGCAGGCAACATTCGCACATCTCGAGGTCTTGGTGAACCTGTTGTCCCAGCACTAACGCAACAGCACTGGACTTGCTGGCCTTTTCCTCCCACCCTTGAGCTCTGGGGGGTGTGCCGGGAGAGGCCAGGAGGTGCCAGCAGCTCATAGTTCTGCACTCCTGGGCCAGCCTGGGTGTGATGCAGACCCAGGGGCTGGAGTGGTAGCCTTTCTGGACATTAACAGGCCTACAGAACACATCTGCCAAGCCACTTTAGAAACCTGACCCAACACTTCACTCCTAAGGGATATCTTTGCCAGAACTGTGAGAGACTTACGATCTTAACCTTAAATCTTAACTAGGTTTCTGTATGCAGTGCTCCAACTTTGCCTAACAGGGCAGGCTCTATAGTCCCTAAGCTTTTCTTGCTACACAGCAACAAGTGTTTTCCGGTGGCCAATCACTTGCAAACAATTCCCAGTCCTCACCAGCTGCCTAAGTCTTCACCCTGACAGCTGGCCTCAGCAGATCTCCCCATGTCTTACCTTCTCAAAGGAACCCACAGCATCTTCAGAATTGTGGGCCGTGGCATGGCACTGCTCCTCCATCGAAGGCAGTTCCCTGGATTCCTCCGGGTTGATAAGGGGGGTTTCATCCTCTAGGCAATTTGTAGAGGATAGCTCGTTACATGAGAGGGGTTTCTCGGAGGGAGACACTGCTCTCTCCTCCACATCACTGGGCATGTGGTTAGCATCGGAAAAAGAGTCCGCAGGGCATTTCTCCAAACTGTAAGACCCCTCGCAGTCGTCCGTTAGTTCTAAGGGATCCACAACACTGTTCAACGATACATACTTGGCAGGGTTGCTATGTTCAACCACTTTCCTTACAGTAGGAGATTTGAAGGGCTTGCTGTAAAACAAGGCCACCCACATGTGAAGGATGAGCTTCATTTCTTCCACTTCATCGGACCGGCTGATATCCCATGGCCTAAACAGGAAGCAAGAGCAGAATTGCTTATTTTCCCTTCAAGGGCTCACAGCACCTTTAAGGTTTTTTTGCAGCTGAGTGGATAAAAGTACAACACACTGCCTCAGGTGTAAGTTCTCAGGTCCAACAAAGGACAAGGAACACTTTCTCCCTTGCTTGGGCAGCCACCTGTTTGTGAGATTCAACACAGGGCTGCCTGGAACAGGGCATTCTCAAGGGTGATGCCATCAATGCAATTATACAGAAGCCGGGGAAGCAGTATAAAATTGGTTTCTCCTTCTAAGTGTGGAAGAACTGGCTCTGTTTCATGCTTCGATGTTGCCTATTTTTTGGATGCCATGGGTTTTTTGGTTGTTTTTGGTGAGTGTGCTTTTAAAAATTGGATTACGGGGGAGAAAGCTAGCAGTGACTACTAGCCAGCTGACTATGTGCTCCCTCCTTACCAGAGGGGGCATGTCTGCATGCACCAGTTGCTGAGGAGCTTGGGCAGGAGGAGGTCTTGCGTCCATCCTGCTGGAGGGGTCCTGTGTGCAGCTGGTTTGCCTCTGTGTGTATGGACTGCTGGACAGGATGGACCTTTGGTCTGATCTAGCAGGGTTTTTCTTATCTTCTAATGGTTCACCCCTTTAGAGAGAATGTGTGTGCAGAATGTTGCCCCGTTGGTCTGAACCAGTAGGGCACCTGACATTAAAGCTTCTTCCCAGGTTAGTTCATGGCTACCTGAGCCACTGCTAGTAAATAGATGCTCCTTTCTAAACCCTCATGCAGGATAATACATCTAGTGAAACAAAATAAAAACCCTCCAGGATCCAAAGTGAAGCCATGTCCAGTCAGGCATTTAACTCCCTTCACAACTGAGCTGCAATAGTTGATACTTTCAGAGCATAACTAAAATAGATTAAGGGAGCAATCCTTTCGTTTCCCGTTTTCCTAGCTGGCTGCATGCTGAGGACTGCAAGCCTTTGTTCTGCATAAGCATGCACAGGACCAGGCCTATGTGCCACATCTCCATCAAAGATCCTGCCCAGCTTCAGTTTATCCAATCTAACTTCTGTTTTAGCTTTCACCACTAACTTTAAATCAACACCGATTCTTTCAAATCTTTATTTCCTGTGCTCCGAAGTGAAGCCACAAGCACAGATAAGAGTCTCTTCAGACTTTCTCTTCAGAAACAATCTATGGCAGAAGCCCAGGAAGAAACGCTTTCAATAAACAGTTTGAACTCGAACAATGTAAGGTGCTGCCTTGGATTTCAGAGCTTTGTGTTCCCTGCTATGACTGGCTGTTCCATTTGTCATCTGTTGCCTCATCTTTCGATTTTTTTTTTTGGGGAGAGAGGCAGGATGCCCAGCAGGTGCCCTGCCCTGAAGCTACAGTCCCTCTCTGAGCAAGGAACAGGACTTGTGTTGTTTTGTGCAAGATCCCAAGCTGTAAAGCAGGAGTCTTTGTTTGGATGTCCTTAAGCTTCTTCTCCATTTCCAGTAAAATGTTTTAATGCCTGGCTTCTTATTCCTCAGGCAGCTTTGACTCTCTAGCATGTAGCTCTGATTATTTAAAAATGTCAACAATTGCTAAATCGGGCAGGAGGAAAGGCAGGAGGGATGGCGAAGGGATGTCCCGGAGCGGGCTAGAAATGACAAAGAGTGACTCCTGCTACAGGGTACAATGTTGCCTGCAAGGCACACAAGGCTGCCACCAGCCCTGCTGCAGCAGGCACACTGCTGCTATCCAGCAGTGGCCAAAAAAGGAAGAAACCAGCAACTCCTCACTGATCTTTGATGTCAAGGCTCAGTGGAGGCTTATGAAGGAGAAATTTAATTCAATTTGTCCTTCACAAGCCTCCTTCCATTGCGGCTTGCTGTCAAAACCCGCGTACCTCCTTGCAGCTCTGCGCCCTTGTTTTAAAGGGAGATGCTAAGAAACTTTCCATCAAAGAGAGCTGGTAGCCCCTGAAGACAGCAGCTCGCAAGCCACACTCCTGCTCATGCTTTGCAGGGCTCCCAACAATGCCAGCAGCCATGGCATGGGAAATACCCAGAGAGAAGTGGCACCTGCCAGCCAGGGTCCAGCCAGAGGCCTGTCCCATGAGGGCTCTGTGCTCTTTGAGAAGCAGACACAGATAGGGAGAGACAGTATGGTCCAGGGCACATGCACTGCAGGGAGACCCAACCTTTGGGGGCACATCTGGAATTCTAGGACAGAGTATTTACAAGATGGCTGTCATAGGGAAGAGCTTCCCCATTTGCAAAATGGCCACTCCATCACAAAACACCCATTTCCTGGAAGACAAAATGCAGAGGCTAGAAGTAAATTTAAAAATAGCTTTTAAAATCAGGGAGGTACATTGGAAGCACACAAAAGACCTCCAATAGCACAGTTCATCACCATCATCATCATCATCATCTGCTATTTGCTCCCTGTAATCTGCCCATAGGAGGAACACGTCCTTCTCTCTGTACTCCCTGGATCTGCCTCCTTGCTCCCTCCCCAACAACCCAACTGTGAACTCAGCCTTTTTAGGACTGGACAAACCAGGCAGGGTGAGGGTGATGCTCAAGCAACAGGCCCAATCGCAGACTGGAACAGTTTTAGCGTTTATCTTTCTAAACCTGAAAATCACTTACCCATGCACAGCCCGAATCACGGTTTTCTCTAAGGAATTATTCGTGTATTTGCTATCAAAACTGAAGAGGTATTCCGACTCCCACTGGAAAGTAACTTTAACAGTTTTGTCACAAAAGGCCACTTTATGGGACTTGGAAAAGTCATCCTTCAGCCTCGCAGCCATGATGGCGGAGCGCAGGAACGGCACGTAGTTCTTAAACTGCTTGTGGGGATGGCAAATGTTCTCCTGGTGCCGAAAAGGAAGCACTTTCCCAACCAAGGGTCCGGATTTAGCATTCTTCAACCCATTCTTAGCACTGGGAGAACCGAGGGCTCCTTTCTTCAAAGACTCTGACACTGGAGAGGCATATGAGTGCTCGGAAGAAATCAGAGAGTTCATGCTGGAGTCAGAAAGATCCCCGGCCTCTTTTGGAAGAACGATATGGGGCTTGGCCGGGCCAGCCCTCCCCTTTCTGCTAGAACTCACACGGCCTCTCTCCTGAGAGTGAGAACGAGATTCCACACTGAGGCTCCCTTGCCCAGGAGACACAAGGGACTTTTGGCACGTTTTGCTTGAAAGGGAAATGCCTTTCCACTTCTTTGTGGCTCTGTGATATTCATGGTCAGAGGACTTGTGCAAAGGCTTCCCTCTCTGCAGGCGACGGCGATCCCGTGATGGGCTGAAGGGCAAGGAAGGTTTGCTGCTGACGCTGACCAAGGGAGTGTTGCAGGAGCTCAGCGCCAAATCAGCCAGCATGTTCAAGGCATGGGAATCGCACTCCTCACTTTTCAGGGCCGGACAAGCATCCTGTCCCACTGTTCTTTCACCTGCAGGATCATTCTTATCCCCAGCCTCCTGCTGCCTTTCCACTGGAGCATCATCCATACTGTGGCGGGCACTTTTCCTTGAGACTTAATAAGAAAAAGAATATGCATCAAAAAGGCTTCTAAGGTAGTCTGACTGGGGGGTGGATGGGGAAAGCATTAGAAGGTAGGGAAAACGTCCGAGTGCTGATCTGATCAAGCCAGGATTCGGAACACCAGTGCAGCCAGGAAGGGCCCCATGTGAACTTGGGATAGTCACTCTCGCTCTCTCACCTCACCTGCCTTACAGGGCTCCTGTGCGGATAAAATGTGGGGAGGAGTCTTGCAGACTGCACTAAGCTCTGAAGATGATGAGCAAAATAACAAGGTTCACCTCTGGACAAATACAGAGCCAGTCAAACTTAGATGGCTGCCACTCCCACAGAGCTTTTGCTAGCAACACATGTGGAACAGCCCTGAACTCAGGAAGGGCTACAGGGGCTAGGCACCCTGGCTCTGTGCGCTGACCCACTTGAGCCAAGGCAATAGGGCTGGCTATCAGGGGCTACAGGCATGCCACTGTATGCCACTCAACGCAGGATTCCAGGTAGCATAGCTCTGTGACACACGTTGAATGGTGCTACTTCACGTGTGTCCTAATTTGGAGCCACTGGTTGGCCACTGTGTGAACAGGATGCTGCACTAGACAGGGTTTGGTCAGATCCCGCAAAGCTCTTCTTAAGTTCTTGTATTCTGCACGCGCCCTTGGGCTGCGTTCATATGGAACTGTAGGAACAACGGTTGGATGCAGGCAGCAATATACATACACAGCAGAATGACAACCAAGCTGGTAATGACGGCTCTGAATCTGCCCTGAAGGAGGGCCTGGTAACAATGATTTTTACAGCTCGTTAACACCCTTGAGAAAATTCTGTACTTTAGCTCCACTGGTTTTGTGAATGGAGCAATGGTGTCAAAGGTGCAGAATTAGAAGTAGCTGTTCTCAAATTCTCCTTCACTTTCACCTATTGGGGGTTTATTCCACCTTTTAGTCCAGTCCACATTGCCTTTTCTTACATCATCACCACCATCACCCCACCTATTTCCACTACTGGGACTCAAGGCAGCTTACAACATTAAAATACGGTAAAATGTGTTAGGTTAAAACATAAATAGGGATGCACAGAGGTGAACAGGGCAAGGAGCACTTTAATCCCTCTTTCCCTGTCCTGGTGGCGACTGCATCAACCAGGTCCAGGATCCTTCCCCGTTCCTACAGGATCAGGACTTCATCCTCAGTCCTAGTTTTCAGAATGGACAGAACAGCTACAGTGCATAAGGGGAGAACAGGGGCAGTGCCGCCCAACAACTAAAGCTAGGTGGGGAGGGATTACAGATTATGTGACTTAGCCCACTTTGGGCTCTGCCCTGTCACCACCCCTTTTGGAGATCCAGAACTCTTCCCCAACCCCAAAAGCAGGATCCCCAGAATTCAAGCATCACAAACTCACTTTGCTTCATGTCCATTCTCTCCTCGCTTTTAACCTTTGCCATCTCCCTTTTGAGTTTCAAGAGCCGGGGCTTTTTAACTTCTAGGCCACTGAGGCCCTCAGAAATGGATGTGGCTCTCGAGGCCAACTCACACCTGGATCTCTGCACAAATTCGGCAGACAAAACCTCAGCACCTTGGGAAAAGAAAGGCCGTTTGAGAGGAGACATCCAGCTGGTTGCATCATGGCTAGCATTTATGATACCACCCCAGGCAGCGCTGCAAGGAAGCAATGTGGTCCCTGCCCCAGAGGACTTGCAGTTTTCTGCATCCATGCTGCTCCAATCCAAAGACGATGCACTCCATGCGCAGAGCCCAGTAGAGCCCCTCCCTGTACCAATACGGCATGTTTGAAAAACTCCTTCTGCACACTCAGTCTCTAGCTCATCTTCTAAAAATTATCACTCTTTATTTAAAAAATCTAGTCACCAAATCACAAATCCATTATGCAATCATTTGTATAACTGTACCCTTATTTTTAAACATTATACACCCATCAGCCCCCCCCCCTTTGCACGAAGAACAGGGCAGACCCACCCAGGCTGCAGAAGACCCCAACAGTTACATCTCTATACAGTTACAGGCAGGTTTTCATTGGGCACCTTCTTTCCTCCCACCTCTCCTTATGTAAATGAAGCACAGCAGAAATCACCTGGAAGATGCACCAACAGGTATTCCCAAGCTATTTTATTATTTATTTATTTAAAACATTTATATGCCGTCACCACATGCCTCGGCATCTCGACCAAGCTACCTATTGGTCAGTTTGCCTTTCCCTTTGGAGGTACCCCTCAGCCCCTTAGAAACACTTGGGCTCTTTGTCTTTGAATGGAATGCAAAGGGCAACAGACCACTGAAGCTGCTTTGGTGAGTTACCCCTTGCAATTTGATAAATAACCTTTCCTGATGACTTTATCTTTAAAACAACAAACTATTTTTAAAGGTGTTTAAAGGAAGTCCTGAAAAAGGAGCTAGTCCCTTTCCATTTATCAAAGCCTGTCCCCTGCAGGCAGGATAAGGGGTATTTAAAAGACACTGGAGAAGGGGAGGCACCACCTCTAAGAATAAAAGGTGTCTTGCCACCTGTCCTACTTCACAGGACTGGAAGTACAGATATATTGGTTTGCTGCACTGCCCTTCCATCACTGATGGCATCCCACAAAATATTAAACATTATAGTAAAAGAGACATTTTTCAAAAAGGAAAAACACATCACCATACACATCTTTAAAAGGTGCAAAAGCATTCTCTGCCAAGCTGCACTTGATTTGGTTACAAAGCACAAACAAAATACCATCTTGAAACAAATCAAATGAAACTATGTGCCCAGAATGGACTTTGCCTGGTACCTAAAATACAGCAAAGGTACAATGCTATGCATGTTTTGATGGGAAACAAGGCCAGGGCGTGCTGGGAGTTGTGGATCATTTTTCTGTTTAAACTTTCACATGGTTGCCCCCTTAAGGCAGATCCGCCTTGGGAGAGAGGTACATAACGACTGCAGAAAAAGCCCCCCTCCTTCTCTCTGTAGTATCCTTTTGCCTAACCTCCAAGAGCAGCATTACAATCTCAGCAGAGATCCTTCAAAAACTGTTCTCAAAAGTTTTAGGGCAAGGGTCTGCAACAAGGCACCCAAAGGGGCTTCCAATAATACCCATGAAGCAATCCAGTCCTTGCCTCCTGCAAAGTTGCTGCTGCTTTTAATAAAAATCTTTAAAAATATTAGGACACCAGATGGATCAGCTGTTCGGTAGCAAGTAGGAAAGGGCTGCTTTCTACCCCCAACCCATTTTGTTCAACCTACCCAGACTGTTCCCCTTCTGCCTACTTAGAAAGGGGGGAGTGACAAAGAGCATGGGGGGGGGGGAGAAAATAAAAGGTGGCAAATGGGGGAGGAGAGCTACAAAAAGAAAATGGGGTGACCCCACCTATCATTGGCTTTGTTCCTGTCCACCTCCATTTGCCCCAAGTAAATTATTCCAAAGGGGATGCAGCCTTCCAAAAGTAAAAGGTTTTCCATAGGACTCACCCCTCTTCCTCTTTAGCGGATTCTGAAGGTTTTTTAATTTAAGGGTGGGCTCATTAGAATTGACAGGAAGCCCTGGATTTTTTGAGGATGGAAAGGAGGGAGTCATCTTTTTCTTCTTGGCTTTCTTCCTCTTTTTGTTGCTCTCCATGATGCATAGAACTTTCAGTGGAGACCATTTCTTCCTCGCACTTCCCCCAAGCAGCCGGCTGGATTTCCTCTTACATCGCTGCAAAGTCCGATCCCCTGTCTGAATAATTTTCACAGGAGAATCTTTGCTAGGTGGATTCGGCTGTGTAGCACGCCGCGGCCGTGTGGCTTCAGCAGCCTCTGGGGGGCTAGCAGAAGGCAAGGAGTCCAGATCTACACCAGAGGAAGACTCAGCCTCTTGCACACCACCTCCTCTGGGAGGTGGAGAACTGTCATTCAGGCAAGCAACAGCCTCTGACATTTCCAGGGTATAGTTCTGAGACTGAGACAGGTAGAATCGCAAGTGATTAAAAGAGGCTGGGGGACACTTTTCAGAAAAAGCATCTGGGTCTGGCTTCTCCAGATCAGAAGAGAAGGGCGAACAGCTAAGGTTGCCAAAGACTGGTTGCATATCCTTTTGCAGCTTTGCAAATTCCTCAATGTGCAGTTTCACGAAGGAGCAAAGTGAAGTGCCACTGTCCAGATTCTTGGCAGCTTCTACCAACGCATGGCAAAGTCCTGGCAAGGCCAAAGTGACTTGGAAGGATCTCTCATCCTCTCCATGTTCACAGTTCAGGTCATTTGCTACCAAGAAGAAATAGAGTTTTCAGAAAACATGCATTTATCAAAGTAGTAACAAGTGCTTCACTGCAACCAGAGAAGTGAAGGACCTTAAACATTTGGAAAGGCAGCAGGAAGCGCAATGAAACTTCATTTGCAGTTTCTAATTGCTCTAGAGAGAAAATCCAGGTGAAAGCCATACACTGGACATCACATACCTGAGGAAGGTTTATTTCAAAGCAAGTTCCAGAGTAGCTCTGCTAAGCTGCAGCAGCAAATAGAAGAGATTTTTGTGGCAACTTGAAGCAGGAGTGCAGAATTCCCAGGCCTGGGCCAAGCCCTGCTCTACTAGACTTTGGCATTCCCAAAAGACCATGGCCCTCCAACTGGCCTCTCTCCCAAGGCCGCCCATTGTCTGGGGGCTTCCTGGCTTCTCTGCAGCTTTTCCTCCATTCCAAAGGGCATTAGAGGCACTTAGCAAAGAGCTTTGAGATAAAATATGCTGATATTTTGGGAAGCTTCACCCACCTCTTTAAACTGCAAACTAGAATGCAGCCCTAGAGCATTTCCCCAAAATGGAATCCAAGCCTCAGGCTGAGAGAATTTTTGTACCCCTGCCTTATGGACTGGAAGGATAGCATGCATTTTCATGCAGTTTGCTTCCTCAGAGGCCAACTTGAAGGCAAGGTTGGAATCTTTTCATTGTGGTGCACCGGGCATACAATGGGATGACGGTACTGCAAGCCAATATATTATTTCTGAAAATGGCCCTGTGGCAAAGCAGCCAATGGCTTTGCTACTCATCTAGGAATAGCGCCCACTGCAGCACCACTGAACGAAGTGCGGGGAGATGGAGAGAGCACCATTCCCTGGTTGGAGCCAGGTGGCCCTCCCACCCACGGCACCCACATGCGTCCTTACCCCTGCTGAGCATGGCTTTGCTCTGCTCAGCCTTCAACTAGAGCTCAGCAGGCAGGGGGCAAGGAATAGCACATGGACCTGCCGTTCATTTCCGATCCCTTGAAGGGTTGAATTCAACTTGTATGTCAAGCGAAGTGGTTCTACCTGTTAAGCGCCCCGGCCTTGGTGACGAGATTAAAAACAAAGCCTGAAGACATGGAGGTTCCTCTGTCTTGGAATCTGTGGAGAGACAGTGCAGTGCTCAGCATTATAGATTTGGCTCTCCCATGAAAAGCATGTATGCAGAGAGCTTTTGTCTTACTCTGGGTTTAAGACCATTCATACTTACCTTTTTCTTTTACCAGGGCAGAAGAGGCAAGTAAGAGGAGAACTCCCTGATCATTTAAATACTTGACAAGTGCCTGCAAAAGAGAGAGATACAGTAAATCTGACACCTTTTTCTGGTTGAAAACAGTGCAGTCCTGAATCAACCCTGCTTTGATCTGCCAGGGCAATGCTTGGAGTTCTTATTTGCTGTACAAGTTTATAATGTAAGTGTGTATGTTTAATCTCCAAAATGTTCCAGGCACCCTGCATGAGGTCCATCTCATTTTACCCCCACCCCCCACCCTGGCTCAGTCAAGTCTGTTAAGACTCCACAGCAAGTTTGACTGGTCCAGAAGGACCCAACCTGCTGGGGAGAAAGGATGCAATACAGTCAGCCTCAACTGGAAAAAGGATGCAGGACTTTTCCTGTGTCCCCACCAAGCCCTTCCTGGGCCAGATGCAACATTCTCCATAATGCCAGGGAGTGCTTTTGTTTCACCCTCACCACTTTTCATTAACAGCTAATGTAGAATATTATCTGGCATCTGCAGCAATTAGGGCCTCAAAGCATTCCACACACATTATCTTGTTGCAATCTTCACAACAATCCTGTGAAGGAGGCCAGGGCTATTACTACACAGGGGTGTGTGTGGGTGGGGGGGACTGCCTATGGCTAGTGTCTGAGTTCATTATGGAGATGATCTGTGAATGAGGGACTTCTTGGCTCCCGCTCAGTATCCCAGGAATGCCTCCGGGCAGCGCTGACAATCCAAAGCAGCACTTCTGCCATTTCTTCCTTAGTGTATTTTTTTCTGTTAAGATTAAAGATGGAAGAGGTGGTGGGAAAACACTGGGCAGGGGGCAGACTGAAGACAAAGCTGTCTCAATCCCTATAAAATGTGTGACTAAGACACTGCGAGTGAATGACAGAAGCCAAACTTGGAAGCCTCCTGACTCACAGCAGCCCTAGCTGTGCTGCCTGCTCACTCTGAGCCTGAACATAAATAATAACAATTAAAAAAAACAGCTCTCCCTGGAACCAGCTGGTCATGTGTGGTTCTTCAAAATTCATTTAAAAGGCAACCGTGGAGAATGCCTCTGGATGAATCTGGTTTCACTTTCAGTACAAGTAGCTACTTTCACTTTTAGCGCTGCTAGATGCAGGAGAAAGAAAAAGAGAAAGAGAAAGGCAGGCAAGCGGGTGGACCTCGCTCCTCTGAGTCCGCACGTTGCTGCTCCTCCTGGAAACTGGCCCTTCTTTTGATTGTTTCTTGTGTTATTTTATTTAAGTTTTTAAAGAAAAGTTTGGATTTGGAGGCATACCACAGTCGTGATAGCATGGGCATGTTTTGTGCACCTCTGTGGCCTGGCAGTGAGAGTGCTGGACTGGGAAGCTCACAGAGTGACTTTGGGCCAGCCACAAACCCTCAGCCTCACCTACCTCACAGGACTGTTGTTGTGAGGATAAACTCGAAATTAGGAGAAACACAAATGTAATGTAACAATGCTAACACCCTACTTTAATATTATAACATAATCTTCCTCTCCAATTTATCCTTACAACAACCTTGTGAGGTAGATTAGGCTGTGAGTGAGTGACTAGCCCAAGGTCACCCAGTGAACTTCATGGCAGAGTGGGGACTAGAACCTGCATGTCCCAGGTCCGCAGTACAACTCTCTCACCACTTCACTCACTGGCTCTCCCCACTGAAATGACTGGGCCTTAACACTGCTCAGCTTGGCTGAACTGTGCACTCCACACTCACACATTTTCACCGTGACCACTCAAATAACTATTACATCAGCTAATTGTTAGTTAAAAAGGTAAAGGTTTCCCCTTGAGGTGAAGTCCAGTCATGCCTGACTCTAGGGGACGGTGCTCATCTCCGTCTCCCAGCCAAAGGAGCCAACGCTGTTGCCTGCCCACCGAAGTGGCGCCTTTTTATCTACTTGCATTTGCATGCTTTCGAACTGCAAGGTTGGCAGGAGCCGGGATGGAGCAACAGAAACTCACCCCATTGTGCAGATTTGAACCAGTGACCTTTCGATCAACCAGCCCAGCAGCACAGCGGTTTAAACCACTGCGCCACCTGCAGTTACTACATATTAATTCATAACCTACACACTTATATGACCCATGCAGCTACTTCTACCCGTTAAATGGCAGTAGGCCCTGGCCTTCACAAGTTTCCCAAGAATGCTAACATTCTGAATAAAGTCCAGGTCCAAAAAGAACTTAAAAAGTGGAATAATGCTCGGGTTTATTTGCTAAGAATATTTAGTAGGCCAACCTAACTAACAACCATCCACAAAAAGCTTGATAAATCACTCCTGAGTGGGATGGTGTAATCTGATGACCTGAAAAAACTGGGGCTTGGACCCAATGGCCTTCTTGGCCCCTTCCAACTCTACTATTCTATGATTCTATGAGCTTACCAGATCTTTTTCTTTTAAACTCTGTATTAACTGATCCACTTTCAATTCATTTTGATTTAATATTTCTACTTCATATAAACAGAACCAAATTCCTTGATAGCAGGCTGCAGAGAAAAGAAACACTTTTAAAATTGAAGCATTTATATAAAACTCTTCAAATGTTCTTTTGTACATAAGCTCAGCATACCATGTGTTGCATAATACAGCTGCAGTCATTTGAAAACAAACACTGTCAAACAGAAAGCAACAGGAGTTTAAAAAAATACACTGAGTGTTACTTTGAATGAAAACAGGGTATTACCGAAGCAATGTCTTATGCTTTTTTATTCCAAAACTTCAGAAAACACGTTTGATTTTTCCAGAAAGCTGTCATCTGCTCTCTCTCCTCTACCATTGATAGTCTTTGCTAATGGGGAGTGCTCCAATAAAATGGGAGCTGGCCACAGGTTCTTCAAGTTCTCAGATCTGAGATTGAAAACACAGCTGCAACCTTGGAGACAGGCCTAGCGCTTGGATTCCCTCTCTCACCCGCCTTGCAGACAGCGCTTAAAGAACCATGCTGGCTGCTTCTCCGAGGCCTTAACAGAGATCCTGAAGAATGGGACAGGGGAGAAGGAAACCAAGGCCACTTGACGCAACACGTCCTGGTGGCGCACCAGCCCCCATCCCTTCCATCCTGCATGCTGCAGCTAGTTCTCCAAAAGCGGGCATCTAGCTGACTTGCAGGGCGGAAAGACCAGGGAAGCAAAGATGCCCCCTGCACCCCCCTCTTCCTTGCATGGAATGCCCAGGAGTCTCCATGTCTGGAGGATTATGGTCATCCCAACTGGCTTGCAGCTGTTCAAGTAGCTGTAATCTACCATGGCTGCAGAAAGGTTCACCCCTCAGGGGCTGCACTGTAGGGTGGCCGGGGCCGAAGGAAAAGGGGGCAGGTCCAAAATACCAACTTGGTTTTGCTTATAGCTTTTCCTGCCGGTAAAGAAGTTTTTGCTTCTTTCAACCTCTTCTAAAAATAGGGAAATCTGCACAGCTAGGAAATCACCAAACTCAATTGAGGGAAAGGTGGTGTTGGGGCCATCAAGGGACGCCCTGGTGGGCTGGATATGATTCTTAGAGCAGAGGTTCTGCAACATGATATATCCCATGTCCAAAAGGTGGGTTTCCTTTCAGGTGGATGACTTCTAGCCATCCTTCCTGTTAAGAGATGAATTCTCATACCTTATGGAGAATGAAACTGGAATAGCAGAATCCTACCCCCAGTGGTAAATCATTGCAGTAGCTTGCTTATTTCCCCATCAGGGTGGAAGCAGGAGGGGCCTTAAATCAGCAAAAGGCTGCACGGGGAAGGCTAAACCCTACAAGTGGATCTTTGAAGTTCCAATCCAATACCCCCTGCATCAATCCTTTTAATTACAACACAATTAGACAAGATCCTAATCCCCCAGCAATAAAACTTTTTTCATAGATAAGACTGCATGGGATGGTGTAAATTGGTGACCTGCAACAGCAGGGGATTGGACCCAAAGGCCTTCTTGGCCCCTTCTAACCCCTCTATTCTATGACTGAAGTGTACATGTTAACAAAGGCGAAAAGGGACTTTATGAACAATTGAAGAAAAATCACAACAGAATAAAAGTAATACTTGTCACACATAGCCCCCATGCTCAGGCAAAGAACACCCTCCCAGACAAACTACTGACCGCATAAAAAGAAAAACTAAACTAGTCTCTCTCTTCAATGCTACTGATCATTCTGATCCCTTAAAACTGTACCTTCATTATTTGCGTAACTGCTTTTCTGAAATGCAGCTTCAGGGAACTTTTTTCTCAAGTCAGATACACCCACAACGTGCCTGATCTCTAGTCTGGCTGGTCTAGCAAAATGAGAAAGCGGGCGGTTAACAGAGTCAAGGCATGCCTCAAGCCTTCCCAGTCCATGACCCTCTTACAGCATCACAATACATTCGACCCACAATGCTGTAACACTCAAATTGCCTGTAATTAGAAATGAAACACCAGCATGTTTAACATTTTGTCCAAAGGAGGATCTTGACTTGTGGCTCCCAAACAAGTGTATATGTGTAAAACAAGAACAAACCCTGGTTTGTGATCCTGGCTGTACTAGCCATTTTCTGGAATCTGGGCCTAGAGTTCCATGAGAATGCAACCAAGATGTTGGACTACACAAGGCTGAAAGGCAGAACTAGAACTGCAGCAGTTTCCATGTCGCACAAAGGCCAAATGTCTGCATTTATTTATTTATTTAAAACTTTTATATGCCGTCCCTTATGCATAGCATCTCAGGACGGCTTACAATCATTGCAATATTAATGCTAGGACTAGCCAATCCAAAATCCCATGCATTCACAGCACCTGCTCATTACATTTTTATTTCAACAAGCCTTCCTCGATTGACCAGCCTCTGTTTTTAGTGGTATCTGTTTTTTCTTTTTTAAGCATATTTTAATTGTAAATAAAGTTATTATTCACCTATAAATTCATTTATTTGTAAATAAATAATCAATATAAAAATAAACACTTAAATATTGTGTTTTCTTCTGTTGATCTTTTATTGTGCACCACTCTGGAATCTGTTTAGATGTGGAATGGTATATAAGCACTGTAAAATTTAAAAACAAAGGACCCACCATTCTAAGATGCAGTAATGGCTCTTTTTGGATAATGTCATTTCAGAAATCACTAGAATTGCAAGCAAGCCTTCCCCTCTTTCAGTGAGTAGGTTTGTTCTTTACCTTCAGGTGTGAATAATGGATATGCAGAAGAGGGATTCGCAGAAAAAGCGCTGCAATTTGTACAAATGCTATCATTCCACCTGATGGACTCGTGGGCTTTTCTCCAGGTCAAAACTATCCCCATTTTGCAGTTGGCAATCCAAGCCTTATGCATTCCCAGCTGGCCAACCTCTCCTGGACCCTCACTGCAGATCTACCCAAGTGAAAAGTACTAGACATTCTGAAACCCTATATAAATTAGACACTCAGTTGCCTGGCACGTTCTCTTCCCTTCCCGTCCGCTCTTCTACTGAAGTCAGAGGAATGAGAAATAAATATACACACTTACAATTGCGATGGGATTGAGCCACTTAATGGTGACCAAAAGACAGTGTCACACAGTCGCTGCTCATGAATGAATAGCTGCCCTTTCCAGGCACGATACAGCACTAAAGGTTTTTGAAAAGACAGTGTGGGGAAATATATTAAATTAGGATGAGAGAATAGGGCAATGCCTTAAAAATGCAAGATATCTGGAAGCAGCCAAGGGAGCTCTTACCTTTGGTCTTACATTCAGTTCTTTGTTCCGGGAAGGGCGAAGGGAGAAAGAAGGGGAAAAAAACCTGGCTTTAAACAGAGGAAAAAATGAAGCAGAACTGATTTATTTTATATATTTAAAGCTGCTCACCCACTCTTGTGGTTTAATGGCGGCATTCTTTGAGGCTCGCAACACTGAGGAATTTTAGTTACATGGAGCAGATCTGCCAGCGATCTTCAGCAACACCACAGTCAGAAAACTCATGTAAGCAATGCTGGAAAAAGCATAATAAAAGGACAAATAATGCTAAGAGAATGCATAGCCCTTCCCAAGCATCCAAAGTACTTTCCAGATATAAGCTCTGTCAATTCAATGCCACTAACAGCAACCCTGAAAGGTAGGCCAGTATTACAACCCCACATTGCAGATGGGAAGCTGAGGCATGATTTGCCTATGGCCTCCCTGCAAATTCACAGCTGATGCAAGATTTAAAGATGAGACCTCAACAGGATGACCATGGAAGTGTATGCCTTGTAAAGATGTGCGCAACAACACATCTGCCCACAGGTGTATGTAAACAACTACAAAGGTGAAGACTCAAAAAAACATAAATCTGAATTCAGGAAAAGAGTATTTTTCCATGTTTGTTCCAAACCCATTTTTATTTTCCAATGAAAAATTGGAAAATGGGGATTATGGAGTATTTTCTTGCAGATAAATTTATTTATTTAAAGCATTTGTATGCCACTCAATTGTGCCACAGGACCTCTGGGAGGCTCACAACTGTAAGACACAATGAAAACTAATCAAAACACATTAAAATACAATGGTAATAAAATACGGACAAAAATACAAAACAATAGGTTGAGTGGCATTAACTAGTAAAATATTTTTTTAAAGAAAAGTCTTTGCCTGGCGCTGAAAAGAACACAAGGGAGGCGCCAGGCGAATCTCCTTGATGAGAGCATTCCAATATGGGAGCAGCTGCAGAAAAGGCCCTTTTCCTACCAGTCATCCCTCTCACCTCCCTAAGGGATGGCTAAACTGTTTCAGTCAAGGTGTTGGTATATTTACTCACTCTAAATGTTTTTTTTAATCATGTAATACATGTTTATGTAAGATTAGATGCAGTATCAGCTCCTTGCTTTCCTGCACAGTGAAGTCAAACAAGTCCTGAGCAAAAACAGTGCCATGGTTCAGTCTCCCCACCATTTTTCTACTGCTCCTTTTAGGGGGCTGAATGAATCACATCTGCTTAGCGCTGAGGAAGAAAGGCCTTCAGCAGCCATCAGCATCCTGGTTTTATTAATACTGATAATTTCCAGCTTTCAGCTTTTTTCCCTGCACCTCATAAAGTGGCAACACCAAAGAGGCTCCCTTTGTTTTAAACCAAAGTTTTGTTTCAACAAAAATTTTAAAAAGTAAATTCATCGGTTTGTATTGATGGTTGTGATAAATTAGACTATACTTTCAGGATGCCAAACATGATTATTTTAGGGAATTCAAGTTATATGTAATATGTTTTATTTTACTAAGGTCACAAAGTGACTTTAAATTGGTGAATGGTGCTAAAATCACTCCCCCCACCCCCAAGTTTCCAAGACTTTCTGGTTTTTTTCCCCAGGATCTCAAAATTTCTGGCAACTTTGCATCACTTATCCTCAACACAATGTCATCTGCAAAGGTGAGTCTATCCATAGTTGGGTTGGGTTTTACGGAAATTCATTGCTTCTATGTGATTTAGCAGAGAGGAAGCCAGCACACAACCTGTGGTCAATTCTTCTCCAATCAATCAGTCAATCAATCCAGCCCTGAGATGATGGCAAAAAGTCCTTCACCAGGTGAGAATATCTTTGAGAACAATGTCTTTTACGCCTACAGTTGCACCCCTGCACTGTCACTAAAATTAGGGGCCATGGGCCAAATTATAGCTGGTTGCATAGAAAGGGGCAAAACACAGAGGGAGGAGGAAAGGCTGTGCCATGGGCCAGGCCACATTTTGCCACTGTGGCCAAAACACAAACTAGTTGGAAGATACTGAATCAAAGCAGTAAAAATTAATATTCATGATGATAATGCCTTAAAGAGGAAGTTGCTCTTTTTCTCCACGGATTAAAGGATACACACACATACAATTTTTATTCATTTAAAATTATTTTTAGGTCACCTTCATGCAAGTTATACATTAAGGGCCCCCTGAATTTCCCTGAGGGGCAGACCCCCCAACTCACACACACACAGGCCTCCTGAGATTATGGCTCCAGTCAGAGGCCACAAACCTTAACACAGTTTAGTCCAAGCATCCATCTTGCACATGGCCAGGGGTTTATTGCCACGTGACTGGGCCTAACTGGATAAGGTCCCATGCTCTGTATGTCTATTTATTAGATTCATAAGGAATGAATATTTTCGCACAAGGAATGTGAGGCAGTTCACATAATCCTATTTTCCATTTCATCCTAATAACAGCCCTGTGAGGTAGGCTAGACCAAGAATCAGTGACTGGACAAAAGTCACCCAAGGAGCTTCAGGGTCAAGTGGGGACTGCAACCTGCATCTCCATAGTTCCTGCCCAATGCTCTAACCACTGTACCACATGCCCAGTAAGTGTCAGCACAATGCACTGTAAATCCAGTGAGAAGCAAAAGGTCCTTCTCAATCTGGGTAACTCCTTTGCATGGTGTGACAAAGATCAAGTCTCCCTATAGCCTGCAATAAATACAAACTGAAACCAAAACTGCTAAACAACGAATCTCCTATTTCTCCTGGAGGTGAAACCCCACTCAAAGGAACAATATCCAGTTGCTCAATAAAAGTTAAATTTTACCTCTGCTTTGTTAACAGAGCAGGAGAAAAATGAAGGCTTCCTCAAGTTCTTTCTTGGTACAGGCACTCACTTCCTTTCATCCGGAGAAAGCCTTGTCCTGTATTAGAAAGAGGCATCAGGAAATACTGAGCACTCGAAAATGAATCCCAAGTAACCTCAATTATAGAGAACATCCTGATGGGTCCTAAGAACAGCTCAATATATTCAGTGCTTTAAAAAAGGGAGAGAGAAAGATAAAATCAAGTAAAAATCTCATCCAGGCATTACAGACTTAGTGCTAGGAAAATCCAAACTCGGCAACCGGTATAAATTGCTCATACTGGTAGGTTTGTATGAATTCCTATTTTCAGTCCTTAACTATGCAATCTTACACCAAGTTATACAGGAAAAGGGCCGACAAGTCCCTGCGTGCACCAGACAGCTTACACAGGACTACATCTTTGCTTTGTTGTATTATTTAATTTATTCTGATTGAACCAGTCCATTAAAAGAAGAAAAAAGACACTGCTGAATACCAGCTACAAACCATGGGAAAACATATCTGATTTATGACATACAAGCAAACCTTTCCTATACAGGGTTATTGTACTGTCATAAGGTCTAGAAACTTGCTTTAAGACAGAAAAAGCTAAGATTCTAAGGAAGTTGGATTTGGCACCCCATGCCAATATCTGGCCATACACAGAGCCCAGTTTCATTTCATTATGATAAAGCACATTTGTTAGCCTAAGATGAAAACAAACATTTATCCTTTTAAACTTAGATAATGCATCCAGGTTTTCCTAGAGGTTGCACTCTTCAGATGATGAGTCTTGCCTTGTGCACTAGAAGCCAGACACATATCAGTGTATGGTCTTCCCTGCAAAGCCCGTTACTTATAATATGCTTTCTCTCCGGAAGTCCACAGGACTACCTCCTTCGTGGTTTATTTTTCCAAAGGCAAGCAAACAAAGCACGGATGCGATCCTACACAGGGCTAGACCGAAAAGAGACCTACACCTCCCAGGGTTGGCTAGGACATGCTAGAACTATTTTTCTGTCTAAATCAGCATAAAGTTATGCCCCACGTCTAATTCATTTAGAAAATCTTCTGGGCTGTATGTTGGCCATGTCTCAAGAAGTGTACTGCCAACCCAATTTTTTCTTGGCTTATCTTTTATTAATGGTTTCCCTGTTTTTGTGTTGAAGGCATTCATTCAGAAAGGAGGGATAACAACTCCATAAATAATAAAAATAATATATCAAAAATAATGAAAGAAAGAGGAAGAGGCCACCAGCTCTTGAAACTGGGCCACTGAGCGATGTGCAAAAGCCGTCCAGCGGTACATCCCGGGGCTCCAAAAGTCAAGGGGGGAGCAAAGGATATGAAGCGAGTCCCCCCAGTTTCTTTTCCTGAGCCTTTGTGTCTCTTGCTCCCACCCTCCAGCTTGACTGTGGACTCTTCAGCCAAGTTGTACAATGAGCAGAGGGAAACAGTATTGCTTTTCTCTCAAAACCATTTCTTGCTTTGGGATTTTTATATCCCAACTGTTTTTAAATGGCATTTTGTTTTTTAACCGGCTGCATTCTACCCAAGGAACATGCATTAGTAATGTCCAAAATAAAATAAGATTAATAAATCGGCTACACAGAAAGGAAGAAAACAGGCCAGGAGGGAGGCTTGTTTTCCCATTGATTTTAAGTGCATGGCAAAAGGAAGGCATGAAAGAAGTTGGGGGCGAGCGCAGAATTTTTTTTGCATTTACTAAGGCTAGGCAGGGAGGTCTGAAGTCAGAGGAGGCACAAACTGAAGTGAGGAGAGTATATTTCTGTGCAATGTTTCTTTCCCACCCTTCCTAAAAGTCCAGACAGCTCCTAATTTGCAATGTCAGGTGCCACTCACAGACTCCGAGCCTGGCCTACCTCGCAGGGTTGTGGCTGTGAGGACAAAACAGTGAGGAGGAAGGCTGTGTAAGCTGCCTTGGCTCTCTTCCAAGAGGAAAACAGCAGGATAAAAATGTAATCTGATAATCATAATAATGAGGGAACCAATTATTTCCACCCCATGGAATAAGAACTGCATGATCTGGAAAATGGCTTGCTTGCAGCCTTCATTTTTTTGGACCCCATCTCTTTGGGCTGCGCTTTGGGGAAACTACATTTGGGAAGACTCTTCCGTGTAGAAAACCAGCTTAGCAGGAGAAAATATCCTAAAAGCATGATCCTGGGCATGTTTAGATGGGGGAAAGCCTACAACTCGCAGAGTTCTCAGGCAGCCATGCCCAAATCTCCAAATAGACCCACGAGAGAAAAACCTCCCCTTCAACTTCCAGTAATCCCCAGCCAGCCTGGAAGTTGTAGGGCTTTTTTCTGTCTAAACACACCTATGATTGTGTCCTATGTGAGTCCCCTCTCCGGGAAGGTACTTTTTAAATACAGGAAAGCATTTAAAAACAGTTTCTTCAGTCTCAAGTGAAAATGTCCCGGAAGGATTTTTCTACCCCAGCGCCCCAGTCTCAGCATCCAAATGGGAGGAGATTTATAATTAAGAGATTAATTTCAGCTTTCAGAAGCACAAATAACAAAAAAGCAGCAGATGGAGTTGGCCTGGCTGTTCAGAGGCCTCCTTCCATGGCGCCTGCTTGGTAAAGGCATTTATTTTTATTTTTTTTAAGGCAATGCGGGCATTTATTTACCCAATGCTCTTCCATGGCATTTTGACCCCACACTGGCAAAACATCTGGAGGAAAAAAGAGAAGGGGGTTTTTTTGCTTTCTGAGGGGGGAAACTTCCCTGAAGGGTTGGACTGGGGGTATAACGGATAGAAAAATGAAATAGAGAAGTGGTTTTGTGAGAGAGTTAGAATGTTTGTGAGCAAGTTTGAGAAGGGAAATAGAAGTCTGAGAGAAGAGCAAAGACTGAGTGAGGTAAAAGTGTGCCAGAGACCCTGATGCTCTCGCCAATGGCATCAAAACCAATGGAGAAAATGGCGGGAGACAGTTATTTATATAACAGGTGCGGGGGCTTCCTCAGAAAGTACTAGGCTGAGCTAGAGAAATCTTCTGTGTGATAAACAGAGACCACAACTGGGAAAGAGAAGGGATTAATTTTTGCTTTCTGAGGCACAAATAACAAAAAAGTGGCAGATGGATTTGGCCTGGCTTTTTGGAGGTCCCCTTCCATTCCTCCTTTCCATATTATGTTTTACTCCCTTCTCCATGGCCACCTCCATGGGATGGACAACGTCCCCCCACAGCTTCACCAGGTCCATCCCATGAGGGAATCTGAAAAACCACTGCGGGCACCACCACAAAATGGCTCCCACGGAGGAGGAGGCGGCGGCGACGGCTAGTCCCAAAATGGCTGCCGTTGGGGCCTGGCTGGTCAAAACTGCAATTGGGGGGCAACAGGGCGGACAGCTGCATGCACTGAAGCAAAGGGCGAGAGGGGGAAAAAAGAGCAAGGCTGGGGGTGAAAAGGGCAAGGAAGAAAAATGCTCTCACAGCCCTCAAAAATGTCCTAAATGTTCCAAGATTTTTCTTAATTTTTGTTGAAAGGGGCATGTATGGAGAGCTTTGTGGTTGCCATGGGGGGTCCTGGGCACCGTGTGGAAAACCTCTCGACTGCAGGAACATCGGAGTCCTGCCAGCAACTGGCACGCAGAGGTATACTGCTACTCCACATGGAGGCTCAATTTAGCTCTCCTGGCCAAGAGGTGTTAATAGCTCATCCTCCATGAATCTTGCCAACCTTTAAAACAAAACCCCGCTTATATTCCAAAGTAAGTGCACATGAGTAAGCGATACTGCCAAATGAATGCATGCGTACAAGAGGTGCAAAGAAAACCACAACAGATTAAAAACTCCACATGGTTTTAGGTTTCCCACCTCTGTGGTATTCTATTTAAGTTTTGGTTTGAATTTAAAAATAACTGTTAATGCTCATTTTGTCCTTTTTTTATTATAATCTGGGGAAAAACACACTAAATACATTCGGGCACTAAGAGGAGGAAAGTGAAACTGAACTAGAGTGAAACTATTCTGCGCCTTCAACCACGAAGGCTCCCTACTCAAGAGACAAAAGAAACCAAAGTAATTTTGAAGAACGGCTGCCAGGAACAGACTGCTTAAAGTGATCATCTCGGCTCTGAATGCTGTGCCCAAGGTTTTATTGACAGCTTTACAGCTGGCTCTTTTAATTTTATACTGGAAATAGTCATTTTGCAGCATCCCATTTGACTTTTCAAGCATAAGCCTCTTTTGCTTTGTTTTTCATGCATTACTTTCATCCTGCATCTGTACAAAACTGTTGAACAGCCAACTGCCATGGTTTTTCATGACCCACTGGAGTCTATAAAAATATAAATGTGTGTTAAAGCAACGCTTGCCATGAAAGATCAGGGACAGGTCTCCCAAGGCGCATCTCCAGTCCATAAACCATGAAGTATTAAGTCTTCACTGGCATTCCCCAAATCTGTCTGCACACTTAAGATAACAAGACATTTCAGTTAGGCAGCAAATGCTCGCTACAGATTTATCTGAATCTGTCACACGGAAACCGATAACAGTTTAGCAAAAAATTTGATTGCGATAGGATGGCATGGCAGAACCCCAGCGCATCTGTAGAACCCCAGGAATCCTTGTTTATACTGGGAAATGATGAGCCTCTTTCTAGTTCACATGGGTGGGTGCTATTCCCCCTTGAAAGGCTCCAAACCCATAAGGGTTTTGGAGAGTCAAGCTGCAAGGCCAATGGGCAATTTATCCCATATCTAGACCAGAAGGATGTGTCCCGCAAGCCTAGAACCCCTCATCTCAGTGACTTAACCCTGCAGCTTCTTCAAGAAGAGGAACAGGCAGCATACGCTAGTCTTTCTCTGGCTCAGCTCTTCCTGCTTCTTGCGGCTTCTTCCACAAACCACTTGCCAAACTTCCTTCTGATCAGCCATCCAGCAGGAAGCTAGAGTGTATTATGCCTACCTTGGCTACACAAAACAAACACACACACGTTTCATATATTGTATTAAATGTAAAGGTATAGCATATGCGAACAATATTTACCAATGTACTTTTATTGAATGTTAATGATCATTTAATGAGCAATCCGAGATAGGCATGA